GTGCTGATGACATGTGCTTCCATCTAACACATAAGACCTAGAATTTGGAAACAGCTTTAAGAGGCAGCTACTACTTCTTTATTGCCTGTGAAAATTGGAGGGAAAGAACTTTGAATTAGAAGAAAGGACACTGAAGATAAAGAGTGAAGAGAATTCTGTCCTGGTGAGAATTATTTAGTGTATTGTTTCTTCAAAGATAAGCATACAGAAATTTAAAAAGTACCATTGAGTTGTAGCTAGACTTACACTGGTGGATTGATAAGATTGTTGATCATTATTAAAAATGATAGGAATTATTTAGTGTACATTTCTTCTAAGATAAGCACATAGAAATGTAGAGAGTGTCATTGAGTTGTGGCCAGACTTACATAGGTGGACCAGTAAGATTGCTGATTATTATTAAAAATGTTTTTATTATCTTCTCACTACATCAAGGGCTTCAAAACAGGTAAATGTACATAATTCTGGTACTATGTATGGTTAAATTTTTAAATATTATATATTAACATAAAAGCAATGAACTTTGAGAAAAATGATCTGGGTTAAAACCTTTTTAGTCTTAATGTTATTGCCTCAGCTATGTTTTGCAGTAATCTCCATTATATGACATGTCTTTATTGTTTATTTCATTGTTGATCTTTCTTGGTAGATCCTAAGTTTTCTGAGAAAAATCACATTCCTTCCAATCTTTAGCACACTATCCTGGCCTGGCTAGTTGAATGAGTTTGTTTTGTGCTCAGAGGAAGGAAGTAAAACCATTCAATGAGTACAGGAGATACCTGCTCAGAAGTCTATTTCAGTCAGTTTTAAGGTATTTGCCTACGCCTAGGTAGTTCCCTATCTTGATCATGTATATACTTATTGATGATGTCTATACTTATTGGACCCAAAGCTATCCTCTCTGTAAGCTGACAACCCTCCACTGCATTTTTAGACTATAAAGATGAAAATACTTCTGTTAATGGAATTTAGACATAATTCAGAATGATCAAAGTTTTCTTGCATAAAATATGCATGACAGAATATAACTCTCTTAGTATCTACATCAGTTATCCAGGCTTTCCCTGCACCCCAGTAGGCAGACATTTTAGTGCTGACAGTAGCTGGATGAAAAGTGAGGTAGACAGAACTGAGGTGCCCATGTTGGGGTTCTGGGGGAATAGCAGAAGTGCCAATTCACACTGAGAGGACTTTCCTCTGTGAATCAGCCAGTACTGTCAGATCTAGGGTGGTTTCAGAAACCCAAGTGTCTCCCTGGACATGGTGCAGGAAAGAGATTTGAAAAGTGTCAAAGCTTCTGATATGAAGGCTTTCAAACCCAGCAAGGCCAGCCTCTGGTCAATTCATCCCTTCATAAAGAGCCATAATAGAGACTAGAGTAGCTGTAATGTTATCCGGCTTGCGTAAACCATCCAGCACTTGGGCTGCTGGGTTCTACTCCACTGGTGCTACAGAGAATTGTTGGGCATCATAATTAAGTGACGTGGCCCAAGAACATCTGTTGCTATTGCAAAGTCTTCATGAGCAATTCTCAGCACAAAAAGAAGCAGTTTTACAGATGGTGCAGCTGCATGAACAGAGTAGAGGGAAGGGTGAGATGGGAGAGGGGCCTTTCTGTATGGCACAAAGATGAAACATTCTTCTAAAAATGGCCACAGTCTTTGGAAATTCTCCCTGTTGGTAGATTGAAAGATTATAGGTATGTTTTGGATTCACCTAAAGTGTAATAATTGTGTGTTTGGATTCTTTTTTAGTATGTGAGTGCGTCCTTCGTATTTTGACCCATTCTAGTGTGGAATAAGTAAGCTGCATTTGTGGCATGTGTGAATTTCCCCCACCCCCAACATACACCCTTTTCAGCATAACAGATGGTAAATTCTGTGGCTGCCAGTTCTATCATAATGTGGTTGCAGAAAATAGAAAGCAAAGCAACATGAAGACCCTTGATAGAACACAGCTGGGGTTGGGAGACAGCTTGTGAATCTGTTGGTGCTAACAGGAGGGTTAGTACAAGCTCAGCTATAGAATAGTTACCTGCATGTTGGAGTAAGATAGGTGCTGAGACATTATTAACCAGAGTCTGTGTACCTGGGCATTAGGAGCAGAGAGTATGGGCATAGGCTTACTTCTGTTTTAGGCAACTGGTCCATGCCTGCCTAAGATGGTAAGGCATTGCTAGTGACCAGTGGATGGTTGCTGCATTGGTATTAGGTATGTGTTTGTGACCTTTTCCAGGTCTGTCTAGACAAACTGTCATGCCTGTTTATGCTTTTGTCATACAAAGAAAAGTGACAACTCTGGCATCGTGTGTTATACTTTCAGAAAAAAAAAAACTGCAAAATTAATTCAAAACTTTATACCAGGTGTATTTCACTTGGAAAGCATGACCCAGGCCTTTGAGATGACCCAGAAATTAGGTTTCATTTGTGCCTCAGAATATACTAGTGATAGGAAACCCCTTATAGCTTTTAATGGTAATAAACAGCCTGCTGTGACATGCATGCCATGGGTTCACTACGATTGGACTATACACTACCATTGGAGAGAAGTGTACTGGCTGGCTGGGCTGGTGGGAAAGTCCAAAACAAACAGAGACTGATTCTAGAGAACAAGATGAACATTGCTGAAACAGCTGGCCAGCAGTCTCAGAATTAAAGGCTACATGTACTATCTGAGTAGTTTGTTTGGATGGGAAAAACTGTATGAGAATACAGAACTCTGGGTGTTGAGTATCTTCGCACCAAAAAAGTGAGAAATGTAGTTTACCTGTTGAAGAGGAGCTGGAAACTTTGTTAGGTGGAATTATTTTTGTTTTTACAGACAACGGATTTCTACAGGAAATCTTAATGAAGAAAAATGCCTTTGCCTTTAGGAAATGATCTTTGGTCCAGGCTGATTTATTTTAGGAGTTGGGGGGTTTAAATGAGAATTTAATAACCAGCTTTGCAATGTTAGCACTGTATCCTGCAGGAATGAATTAATCTGTATAAAGACTTTTTAACCTTTCCAATTTAGGAGCAAAAGGGGAAACTAAACTGATTGCTTTTTACTTTTTTATTTTTAACATATTTTAAAACTGCAGAGAAGGACAGAAAAACCAGAGATGCACACTGCGCAAAGAATGAACTGGTTTTTATTTGAAATAAAGGATGCTTCAGATAAAATTGACAATTTCCTATACCATTCATCCCTAGTTCCCCCTGCCCACTCTGTCTCCTAAGGAAACTGTTGCCATAAATTGTATATAAATCCTTCCAATTCATGATCTTACATTTTTGTATGTACCATATATATCATATAAATACATGACATGTTTGCATGCTTAAGTTATCATTTGATATATATTCTGTTATTTATTTTTCTCCTTAGATGTATTTATGTTGATAAATATATATGTGGTTTTAATTTGTTCCTTCATACCGCTCTGTGGTATAGTATATGAATATACCACACTATACTGCTATTATAAATGTTGAACATTTTTGCACAGATCACCCTGTACACATTACTAGAGATTCTATGGATGCTTAGATCTAGGTGTAGCATTTAGCTGAGTCACAGAGGAGTGCATTTTCCATCTTGATAGGCATTTATTTCCAGAATAGTTAAATATACCAATATTTAACTATATACCAAGTGTAAATATATATATATATATATATATATATATATATATATATATTTACCATATATATACATACCAAGTGTAAATATACCAATTTACACTTCCACTAGCAGTATGTGAGTTCCGAGGTTTTAATAACATTTTTTTTTTTTTTTTTAGTTTTTGGTATTATAAAAAATGGTAGTATCTATTTGAATTGTGATTTTTCATACCACTAGTGACATCATAACTTTTTAGTCATTGAAATTTGAAATTAAAAGTAGCCAACGAATTGAAATCCCAATGTGTTTTTCTCCAAATGACAAAAGAAATAAGTAGTCAACCATAATTTGAAGTTGTACTTTATTTGTACTTTTTCCCCAGGAAATTCAGTTCTTTTGAAGCACTGGGGATTGAAACCCTTAAGGGTGCTGTGCCACTGAGCTTAGGGGAGCTTCATCCCTTTTTATTTTTTATTTTGAGATGTGGTCTTGCTAAGTTGCCCAGGGTGGCCTCAAACGTGTGATCTTCTGTCTCAGCCCCTGGGTACTATGCTTCTAGGTATGTGCCACAATCCCTGAAAAATTTTTAATTATTATCCTGGTAGTTAAAATCATTTTTTTAGAGTTTTAGGTTCTTTTGATGAAATATCTCTACAGTGTATTTTACCTTCTCCATTTTATGAAATTCAAGGTAAAGTGAATTTAGTTCTTGTAAGGAATGCTTGATTTTTTTAAAAAAGTCATTAATATGTTTAGGGTTTATTGAAATATATGATACTTGTTTCTATCAGGTTTAGTGTATTTTTCTGTTATGATTTTCTTCCTAAAGTCTTTTCAGTGAATCCTTCCATCTTTTTAAATTAAAAATCAGCTTATGTAAATGATACATGCCTACTCTAGAAGATCTTACCTTTTCTTCTTTAATTTGCCACTTTCTGTTCACAGTGCTGAGGAAACCAGCATCTCTTCCTCGGGAGAGGGAGTGGCTGGGCTGGGTGGTGGCCTGTGACCCTACTTAGCTGCCTTTCCGTGCTCTTCCCTGAATGCTCCACTGTTGTGCAGAGTTGAGACCTGAGGGAACCTGACTTGGGGATGCGTTAGCCTTCTTCAGAAGAGGCACAAACATGCCCTTCAAGAATGAGCGTGCTTTAAAATTGGCGTGTTACTGAGGAGATAGTGGGCAGTAGACTGATTCATTATCTTAGGAGGTCTGAGGAAATTGGCCAAACACATAATGGCACAAACACCGTGCTAGCTGAGCCATGCAGAATGCATATACTTTTGGAGATGTTTTGTTTTCAGAAAATTGCTGCTGCTTATAAGTTTATGTTTGTTCACATTTCTAATCAAAATTTGTAGTAGAAATTTAACATTTCATTTCTTTTTCATTTCAGTGTGACAAAATTAGGCAAGAACGAGATGAAGCTGTTAAAAAACTGGAAGAATTTCAGAAAAGTACGTACGCATTTCAGTGGAATTATTGTAAATACTTGTTTGGGTTTATGTGAGTACATAGATATTCTGTTTAATTACCAATGCATTAGTCCAGAAGGCAAAAATTGTCTTCCCATTTACCCAAAAAGGGTCCTGGCATTGGTTATGGTTTTAAAGAAATGGAATAAGCATTGTTTTATGAGGGTATTATTTTTAAAAATTTGCAGTTTGTTATAAGAAAATATTACTAAACAAGAAATTAAAGAAGAATAATTTTATTTTGTTACATTGACTCCTTGAAAAAGCCCATGATAGTATTTTGTAATCTGTTCTTCTGGCTTTTCACTTGTGTAATGTATATTTCTGTTAAAAGCCGTATTTTGCATTCAGTTTTGTAGGTTGTGGTTTACAATAAACAGTGTATTGTCATCTTTGCATGTCACTAGAAACGTATTAGTTTTAATTGTTGCCCATACTATTCTATTATACTACAGTACCATAACTTATTTATGCCTTTATTGATAGATTTCTAGTTAACTTATACAAAATGCCTTCGGAAGTAATATATATACATATATATACTATAGAAAGTAATGTATATTGATCAATTTACGAGAAAAGAATTATTCTTGAATTTTGCTATACAGGTTTGGAGTTAATGCTATATTATCAACTTAGTACTTAAAATGTATCAAGGGTAAATTTTATATTAAATATTTTAAATCAATAAATAGAAACTGGAGATATAGCTCAATGCTTACCTAGCATTTTTGGGTTCTGAATTCTATCCCTAGTGCTACAAATAAATAAGTAGATAAGTAAATAGAGTGGAAAGAAACTTTGGGAGGTGATGGGTATGATTGTGGCCTTGAATTGGTGGTGGTTTCATGACTATATACTTATCTCCAAACTCATCAAGTTGTATGTGTTAAATATATCCAGCTTTTTGCATGTCATTTATACCTCAATTAAATGGCTTTTAAAAGAGAAACACAGATATAGTTTGTACAAAGTGGACATTTTTACAAGTTTGAATGTTTGAAATAGACCTCTGCCCTAGGAATGCTATATTTCCCCAAAAGCTATAATAATCTTCTAAACTTTTCCTCTGTTGTTGCTTTATATGAAATAAATCTGTTACTTATCCCCCAAGATAAAAGTGTCCGATGGGCATAAATCATGAGCAAAGACCCAGACCCCAGAGCCTTGGAAGCATGGCCTTTCTCTGCCATACTACAGATGCCCTATCAGACAGGATATTTGATTTTATTACGAAGTGTTGACTTGGTAACTGCGCGACAAAACAGTTTTACTCTTCTGAAGGCAGCCGAACAGCTGTAAAATGCAGCATTATAGTTAAGTTTCAACAGCCAGTTTATTCCAGCATCTGACTGTGACAGCGTCTAAGTAGAACTGTGCTTGTATTATCTGTCTTTGGAGGATACTGTGCTCTTGTAGGAATGCCTCCTGTTTGTGAGTGTGTCAGTTGCGGTTGTGTGGAACTTTCTTATCCCCTCGTAAAAGATTTATGGATTCTACTTAATTTGTGCTGACATCCATGCTTCTAAGCAATCCTCTTAGTAGAGTTGTCTATTAATGTGCCTGAACTCTCTATGGCAGATTGATACACTGCTCAGTGGGGATAGTCACTTTTTTTATGGGTGGACTCACTATAAAATGTTTTAATCTAGGAAGATGGTAGGGATTTTGCCTCCCATGCTATGCAAAAATGAAAGCTACTTCCCCTCAACTTTATAAGTGATGTATAAACTCCATTTCCATCCACCGTTTCCCTTCTTTGTCTCTTTTCTAAATACCTTGGATAGTTTAAAAAGCTTACTGTTTTTTTTTTTTTTTTACAAGAAACTCAGGTTAGGACCTGAAAGAATTAATGGGAAGGTTAGTACAGCATTCTCTTGCTATACACTTTTAGTTTTTACCTTTATCAAGCCTGCTCACCTAAAATATGCATGGCAGAAAAAGAATGCCAACTCACTCTCAAAGGAAAGGGAAAATGGGAAGTGAGAAATCTAAATATTTCTTTAGAACTTGCATCTGAGATGAAAGGTACATAGCTTTTGAGCGATGGTAGAATTTCAGGTCCACAAGGGAATAAATATGATCGTGGTTTTCACTAGTGGAAAGCATTTGTGTGGTTCCGTGCAACCCCGGACAAGTTTCCTCATCATTAAAGTTGGGATAAATGATCTACTTTATGAATTTTTTTGAGGCTAAAAAATGAGATTAATTTGGGGCCTGGGGATTTAGCTCAATGGCATAAGCACCTGCCTTGCAAGCATGGGGTCGTGAGTTCAATCCCTGGTACCAATAAAAAAAAAATGAGATTAATTTATATAACAGAAGCTTCACTTTTTACCTGGTCTGTAGTAAGTGCTTAATAAATGTGAGTTGCTGCCATCACCATCTTACCTACCTGGTCATCAGGTTTCTGTTCCATGTTAGGAGTTCATAGCATCATCCTTGACCAAGCCCATCTGTGTATGAGTCCACATGTATGGAGAGCCCAATGGCACAGTTTCTTTTGGTGCAGAGTTAGAATCCAAAATCCCTATGATGTTTACCTATCAGGACTTTACCAAGAAATGTGGTGGGTGAAGCTGAGTAAAGCTGAGGAACAGCTTGTAAAATCAGAGAGCTCTTCTGTCTCTGCCTGCCAGGCTTTTCCTAGAGTGCATATATTTCCAAGTCATTCTTAGTCCTGTGTCATCCCCACCGCCACGTGTCTAGAAAGCAGAGTCTTGAACAAGGAGAACTAAACAGAACCCTTTCATGTGTTTAAGCCGATAACATTAGATCCTGTGTTGTTTCAGGGCGCACTGGTTTTCCTACATGTGTGCCAACTTCCTGGCTGTTTTCTTAGCACATGAAATGCTTTCTGTGTCATCGGTATTGAAGAAGAGTCTGTGTTATGTTCACTGTGTATGATTCAGAGAGACCCTGCATCTGCACTGCTGGGTGGTGCAGTTTTCCTCAGGAACCAATCAGTCATTGGTGATGACACTTTTAACAAATTAAGAATGACCGTGGAAAACTGGAGTCATCTGGAAATGAATGTGGCAGGGCTTTAGAAGTTAGGACTCTGAGACGTGGGACAGGTTACTTAACTCCTCTGGGTCTCAGTGTTGTCAAGTAAAAAAGTGCTTGTTGTGAAACCTACTTTGCAGACTGTTGTGAGGTTTCATAGAGGTACACAAAGCTGGACTCATAGGTCTTTAAAATTTCTTTCAAAGTGAAAAAATAGTACAATGAACCTTCGTAGATCTATCAGCTGGTTTCAGTAATTTTTAAGGCATGCACACACACTTACTCTTACTGAACTCATATTACTTTAAACTTAATACTAGTCATTCAGTCATTTTAGTGTTGGCTAAAAATATTTCATTATGAATTTCTAGGAGATTATTTTTTAAAATCAGTATCGCGTCCCTTTACTGAAAGCTCATCTTTTTTTTTCTAAACCCTGTGTCATTCAAAACTGTGATTGTCATAGGTATAGTGGCCATGAATCATGGATCATATGATGGAAGCCTAAAGTTAGCTCCTTAAAGCAAGATGGGAGGGACAGGGGCAGGAGAAGAGGGGAAGGGAGTGAAAAAAAGATTTAAGATGTATTAAGTACATGTAGCAACTCCCCACTGTAAACATATACTAATAAAAAATCATTAAGCAGTTAAGGTTTAAAAAACCTTTATTGTTTGAAAGCTGAAAATAAATGTACACATCAGAAATATTTCTATTTACATCACGCAAGCTGACTTCTGGATTTGGAAATGGAGTCACACATTTTAAAGATACAAATGGCCTTAGAACCTAGAAAGTGAATAAGGGTTCTGTGCTACCAATTTAGCAATCAGATCATTTCTTAAATGAAAAATGAAAGTAAAATTAGAGTATATATTTTGTTACCCCTTTTTGGTGGTAGCAGGGATGTGAACCCAGGACCACCTCACTGAACTACATCTCCTGCCTTTCTTACTCTTTATTTTGAGACAGGATCTTGCTAAATTGGGTTTGAACTTGGGATCCTTCTACCTCAACCTTCCAGAGTATACTATTCCCTCTTTGAGAAAGAAAAACCCCACCTGATGGAGTGTTCCACATCAAAACTGGAGAAAATGTGGGCGAGTACTCCCTAGCCAACTTTATCTAGTTAAATAACTGGACAGCTTTTTACAAAATACTTAGAAAATAAATGTCCCTCCCTGCTCCTGTTTTGCTAGCCCTGAATCTCACTACCCACAGAATGATTTTTCTTACTCTTTCATGAGCAAGAATGTTATTGAATAAAAAGTCAAATTCCTATGAAAAATGCAGAGTGTTTATGTTTTTGTTATGAGAGTAGAAATACCAGATTGTGGCAGGAGATGTCAAGTAGTTAAGGCTAAAAATTCAAAGTAATATTTGATGTTGTAAAAATTGTATAGGTTTCTTTTTTTTCCTTCACATTTTTTGAAGAACCTACCTTGTAAACATAGTGATAAAATGCCAGGAATATTAGGATTTTAAGGAAATAATAGAGCCTATTATTTAAACTACAATATAAAAGGCAATTATATTGATGAAGAGCTACATGGGCTTTGTGTGTGTGAATGAACTTGGCCTGTGTTCAGCTTCTATTTGTTCTTCTGGCATAAACACATATTGTGTGTGATTCCAGTTTAATGGGGACCCGTTTGTATGCCAAGCAGCTGCATTTTAGGACCTATTGCGTGATTTCATAGCTCTCTGAAAATTGGTTCTATTCAGAACAAGAGATAGAAGAGGACAAGGGGGGTGGTGGTGGTGGGGGGAGCTTCAACACACAATCATTTCTTTTCAATTGGAGCCAGAAAGGTTGATGACAACATGACCATTGTGTTATAATGATAAGACCACTAAGGCATCTGTACCTCTCATCAAGGCTTTCACACCACAGCAGATACAATTTAATTCACTGCTCTGTCAGCAGTGCTGATACCATTATGCCGTCTGTCTCCACAGTTATAATCACTGTCCTCTGAGAAATGCAGTTGAAATGATCTTGAGCAGTCAAAGAAACTCTCAATTAAGGCTGCCACTTCCAATGTGTCAGATTGTGTCTTAGGCACTTGGTACAATTTTCACTTCCAATCCTGTTTATTTACAATGTCTACCAGTAATTACGCTTAACGTGTCATTTAGTGAGGGGGGCCCCTGCCAAGCCGATTGTTGGGTGCTGCTGTACCATTGAGTGGGAGTTTCTCGAAGTCAATGCCATCAGCAGCTTTTAGGCCCTGATGGGATGCAGTAGTAATGTTGATAATGCAAGTATCGTGCTCATCAAGTCATAATTAGATGCCACTCAAATGTGCCACTTGTAATAACAGTGTTGATTCATGTTTTTCTCGGTGACTGCAACTACTAATTAGTTAAGTGGTTTTTGGTTGGCCTGCATTTGCGGCAGATTATTATTACCCCTGAAAAAATGTCAAGGTTAGAGATGTTTCTGGCCATTTAGTGCTGCTTTATGAATTTGAATATTAGCATAATAAGAACTTTGGACAGACTTAGGAAGTAATACATTTTTCTATTTAATTTGGAGAGAAATTTTTCCCCTGAGTTTAATCATAATTGCAGGTTAATTAAGCTTAAATGAAGCAAAAGTAATCTCTCTTTGTGTTATATGAGCCCAGTGCTTTTTGCCTAACTTTGTTGGATTTCTCATTTTGGGTATTCTTTAATTTTTTTTAAAATTCATACAAATATCAATAAGCGTATATGTTTATAGATAGATTTGTGATTGTGAGAATTTTTCTAGAGGAATGTACTAATTCTTTCTTAATTGAGCTTCAAAATATAATTCATTAAGTTTCAAGTTACTTTGTATCTTTGAATCTCAATTTACATGAACTAACTACCAAAAATTATTTTTTTAGATGTTGGTAAAATGTCAAGATCTGGTTTTTCTTCTCATCTTACTGACAGTTTGTGATGCAAGAAACAATTTATCAGCGTTTGCTTTTAGCATCACATACCATAGTACATAAATCTCAGTGCTGTACTTTTCTGCCCTGGAATTCATAAAATAACAGTAACTAGTTTGTCATTGTTAGAAACTAATACTATAATATTTAGCTAATCTGCTTCATTGTTATTTTAGTCAGAAGATCAATTTAAGATTTTTCTTTTATTTTATATTAGCTAATTTTCTTTATTATATGTTATATTTCCAAAGGAAAGAAAGACATAGTGTCACTCTTTAGTTGTGGGAGAGTCTTTTGTTTAAATGAAGGTATGTCTATATCTGTGGATACATATAAAATTACATAGAAAGCAGAGACTTAAAATCTCCTAAATAACTTCCAAAATGTATTTAATAGTGGCAAAAGTTCTTTGTTGTATTCTTTTTTCTTTCTACATTGAAACATTAGCTAAGATTTAATCAGGACAACTTAAAAACTTTTTCCAGTGATGGCTAAAGGTCTGGATAGAGAAAGAATTGACGTATTCTTAATCATGGGATGATGCGTGGGCTTCTGGAGTAGCTGACTAATCTCTGCATGCTGAGATTTTTTTTCCCCCCTCATTCCTAGTTTCTCACATGGTTATAGAGGAAGTTAATTTCATGCAAAACCATCTTGAAATAGAGAAGACTTGTCGTGAAAGTGCTGAAGCTTTGGCAACAAAGGTGAGCCTATTCAAATGAAGGAATTTTACCTAACTCATTTTTATTTCAATTTGATTTTGCTTTCCTAGTTCTCATTTAATCACTTATCTGCTCTGCTGATGAGGAAAGTGTTGTAAGTCTCAGAATCCTGGAATATGAATCCATAAGTATCTGCCTTAATGCAAAGTTTATTTTAATGGTAAAAGAAGCATTTAAATGTGTATATTGCAGCCTTTGTGCTTTTTGTTTTTGTTGTTGTCTGTGAGAAATGATCCCCAAAGAGTCTGTTGAACTGGGTTTCCTGAATGTCTCTGCATTTAATTAAAATCTTAACCAAGTTGAAAACTAACCTGGTGTGACAGAAAAGAGCAGTCAGTATTCTGTGCTTGAGTCCGATGAAAGTCAGTTTCAACCCTTGCATTTCAGGTGATTATTTGTGAAAGCAAAGTGAGGGCATGTGAAAGGTGACCTCCAGTGAGCCACTGATTGCTTCTAGCTGATGAATTTATCAAGTGTGTAATTTTCTAGATTCTGTCTCATCAGAAGTACATTATTAAAGAATATTTTTATCTCTGTCTTACGTATTTTGGGTTGGGTAAAATGCATCTGAACTACTTCATCAGAAAATGGATTACTGCAATTTTCAACCAAATTTCATTAGGAATGCTAGTTGTATTTCTTTTGCTTCCCCCCACCCCCATCATGCACCTCTGAAGCATTTCTTTGGATGTGATTGAAATGCTACTACCAATAAATAAATAAATTCAATTTGGATGCATTAGCGGTGTGCCTGTTAGAGGTATTTGTTTAATGGTTTGCATAACGACACTGCATTAGAATTCATAAGATAGTCAATCAGAACCTAAAAAATACATGTATGTGTGCAATTTTTCTCCTGTTACTTGCCTGACAGATACATAGCAGTATAGGCTAGAGGTTTAAAAGCAGTGGTAACATGGGGATTGTCACATCCTTTTTATTCTGCTGTACCTCACTGAAGTTTAGCAATCTGTGAGCTTGTATCAATTCCCTTTATTTCTTTTAGAACAGGAAGAGAAAATAGATATTTTAGGAACAGACTGGTTGCTGGAGTCTTCTACAGCCCACGAATAGTTTTTGTATCTTTTCTTGTTATCAGCAAATTCCTGTTACAACAGGGAACCTAGTAGGACACTGACTACCTCTTGGGATGGGCTGAGTTTGTTCATAGTTTTACCTTAAATGACAAATGGAATATGGTTAGGACTGGCGTGACCGTGGGTGGGCCTTCCTTTTTACAGAATGGCCCGTAATTGTTTTTTGAGCATGCAATATGAACTCTTGGGGCCTGGAATAGAAAAGCAAACAAACAACATTGACAACAAAAAACTGAGTCAGATGCAACAGATGTGCCTTGAATGCAAAATTTGGAAGCTTCATTATATGTGTGATCCTTAAGTGGCAACAGCACATTTTGTTTTAGGTGTCTTAACATTTTTGAAAGTAGGCCTCATGTTCTTAGCAGCAGAGTTTCTGTAAAATATTTTTCTATATCCTTGCCATCAGATTAATGACAGTTGAAATATTTCATTCTTCTGGTGCAATTTAACCTCATAATTTTCTGTTTTAAGAAATTTTGTTAATTGTGTTTTAGTTGCACACAATAGTGGGATGAACCTAGAACATTTATGCTGAGTTATATCCCCAGCTTTTTCTGTTTTTTTTTTTTTTTTTGAGATAGTGTCTCCTTAAGTCCCTAAATTGTCCATGCTGGGCTTAAAGTTGTAGTCCTTCTGCCTCAGCCTCCCAGAGTGCTGTGATTACAGGTATGTGCCACTATGCCCACTTGACTTTGTAATTTCCTTAAAAACAAGTTTGAATACTTTGCTTTGCTAGGATGCCTAGGTTAAGCTGATAAATGTAAGCCAATTGTTTTAAATCATATGATGTAAAGCATTTAGTTTGCTTACTTTGTTTCTTTATATATTCATTAAATGCAAATGCCCAATGTAAAAGCCACTTAAATTTTAATATAGTAGGATCAATTGCTGTAGGGTCATCAGCAATTTATTTTGCTGTGTGATTTAGAAGAGTTCCAAACAAGTTGCATACTGTTACCTGTAACTTGATGAATAAACTGTGATGAACTTGCTGAGCTAAATTTTGTGAATTCAGCAGTCTCAAAAATGTCCAAGATAGTACTTTCATAAGACTTCATATATATAAATCTTCTATTTCTTCTTTTAAAATGTGAAAATGATGTTTCAGAGAAGACTTGAGAGATCTTCTGGTTGACTTCTTTTTTATGCTAATGAATGTTTTAGAGTAATTGTGTTGCACACAGATAGTAACTGATAGACTGCAGTGCTTAGTTTGATAGGGGTGTTAAGTTCTTTTGTGGGCAGGATTGTTAACTATCCTAGTTCCTTTTTTTTTTTGAGACAGGATCTTATTATGTAGTTATTTGTATAGTCTAGTCTGGCCTCGAACTCCTGACAATCTTTCTGACCCAGTCTCCTGAGCTCTGGGATTACAGGTGTGTGGCCACCATGTCCAGCAGGATCATTAACTATCAGTTGTTAACTATCAAGTATTTATTGTGAAATAATATGGGGAAAATAAATATTTTCATGAATATCCTGGAGGAAGAAGAAAATGTGTAGATGTATAATTTGGGTAGAAGAAAACTTGTTGAAATTGATTTCTAGAGGATAATTAGATATATAAAATAAGCCTCATTTCTTACTATTATTAGCTAACACTGAAGTTTTACTGTGAGTCAGTCACTGTATTAAGGACTTTTTCTATAATGTCTCACTTAATCTTCATATTTGTGGATAGCAACTACCTTTATCCTTAGTTTGCTGATGAGGAAACCGAGACCCTGAAAAATTGAAAGGTTGGTTCTGGAGTCAGTGACAAAATTTGATCACAGAGCTGGGTGTATACTAAAGTGTCCTATTATTCAGCATCAGTGATTCTTAGTGTCAGTGTACATCAGAGTTTCCTGGGAAGCTCTTGAGAAAGTTTTTAAGCAAGGCCCCACGGCCAGAGATTTTGATTTGATGTAGACTTTTAAGCATTGTGATTTTTAAAAATCTCTCCAGAGATGCTGATGTGCAGAGTTGGAAACTATTGGTTTAAATATTGGAAGGCAGAATTATAAATTTAGCATTTTCTTGTTCAAGTGGTATTGCATTCTAACATTCAGAAAACATAGCAGAGTTTGAGAGTTGGTGAGAAGGATCATTGAGCCTCTCTGAAGGCCATGCTGTCAAAGAACCTAAAACAGTGTTTACCTGAGTTTTCTATCTTATGGAAGAGGATTGGGAGTCTGTGACCCTCATCTTGTGTCCCTGATCCTCTAGTGTAACATGGGATCGTAAGAGCAGGGTCAAGAGAAAGGGGAACAAAGGGCTATTGATTCCCTGAGTACAGTGTGCCCGTCTTCCTGAGAAGGAGGGGTTCGTAGTCTTTCTAAAAGGTTATTCCTGATTCCCCAGAGAAGTCAGGAAAACTTTTTAAGCCTCAGACCATGCCCCTTAGGGCATTCCTGTGGAAATGGGACCAAGTTTGGTCTTTGCTGTACTTTTTACTATATTTTTATGCATATAAACATGTTACCTAAGGAGAGTGGTGGTAGTTGAGTAATTAAAACTAAAAACCCACTCATTTCTACATCACAGAATAGCAAATATATTAACAAATTAGGATTCATTTTAGCTGTTACAAATTAGAACTCCTGTAGAGATGATAGGAATAGATTGTGAACTTACTTCTATTGTTCATTATTGGAACTCTACAAAAAGCAGGAACACATCTTGAACTGGCTTAAGCAAGAAGAGATGCTGGGTTTGGTGGTGCATGCCTGTTATCTCCCTTTCTTCATGGATTTTTTGTTTTTGTGGTTTTTTGCCTCTCTCTGTACATCAGCTTCACCTTTTTGGCTTTGCTATAGACTACCTCCCTTTCTTGATCAAATCAGTCAAGGAGTATGGTTGCTAGCATCTCTTGTATACTCGGACACAGAATCTCATGTCTCTGTTCTAACTGAATTTCTAGAGAAGAGAGCTGATTGGCCAAGCCTGGGTCATGTGCCTAATCGCTAGCTCTATTAACTGTGACAGTAGTTAAGGAGTACTTAGGGGAGAGGGTTCCTCCCATAGAAAGCAGGTCAGCAATGAGGAAGAGTGATAATGTCCAAAAGAGAGGGATGCAGAATAAATAGACATTTAAGAAGCGTTCTTGGCACAGCATCAAACTGAGCATTTGTTGAAATAAAGGCCTTTATTATAACTACTAGTTACTAGAAATATGGAGTACTTTATCTTAATTCCTTACATTTTTTATCAGTTATAACTAGCATTTTCCTCACTGCTGGCTGTAATCCAGGAATCAGGTCTTATATAAAGTTATACATTTAACATTAAAGCATATGAATAAAACCTTGTTTCATGAGTCTGGTAATTGTTATGTCCTGCTGTGAATGTTGGTGAATTTGTAAGACAAAAATATACTTAATTGGTCTATTGTTTAAAAATCCAAGATACTCATTTAACTGCTGTTAAAATAACCATTTTTATATTTTGTCTTAGTTAAATAAAGAAAATAAGACACTGAAGAGAATCAGCATGTTATACATGGCCAAGCTGGGACCAGATGTTATAACAGAAGAGATAAACATTGACGACGAAGATGCCACCACAGACACAGACAGTGCTGCTGAGACCTGCATCTCAGTACAGTGCCAGAAGCAGATCAAAGGTGAGACTTGTGGATCAATTATTGAGCATGGCTTTTGCTTCTCTTAGTAGCATCCTTTACAGCCTTGGCTGTATAGTCCCGACTTATAGCAGAATGACAGGAGAACTGTTAAAAACACTGATCCCTGGGCCCTGCCATCAAAAAGTTGTGGTTTAATTGCCATGGTGGGAGCATAAGTAAAACTCAAGGTCATAGTTACTTCTTTGTGAGTTGCATTATTTATAATTAGGCATTTTTAAACTTGTCTCTACAGAAGCAGTCAAGACCATAACCTTATGAATATGGGTCATATGTTCAGATAGTTTTGTTTTTTAAAAAAATTTCATATATATATATATATATATATATATATATATATATATATATATACAGAGAGAGCCAGGGCTGGGGGCCCAGGGGAGAAGCTCAGTGTTACAGTGTGAATTTGATACTTATGACTTGCTGGAGTCAGTTCTTAGCTCCAAAATGTGTATGTGTGTGCGCGCATGCGTGTGTGTAGGCCCTTTTTGTTTGGTTCTCTGTCAGACTCTTTGGAGGGAAGGGGAATATCTGCCCTCCATCTGACTGGGGCAGTGGACTGCAAGCAGTATTCAGCATTTAATAGCTGTGTTGGCTGGCAAGTAGTGGTATAGGGAAAGATTATATGGCACCTTGGTTCAATGCACGTTAATTTCCTTTATGTATGTGCAACATTGCTTATGTTAAAGGTGCTTTGGCTCCATAATGTGGAACATTTTTGACGAAGTACACATTCAAAAGTAGTACTTACTAGTTTATTTGGTATGTAAAATTTTAATTGATAATATAAAGAAGAGCTGTTACTCAGCTTTACCTGAATCTTTAACTCCTTACAAGTCAAACAGAATTTACAATGGGTAGGAGGGAGAGGAATTTCATTTTGTTCATTATTCTCCCTTCTGTCAGGTCTTGAACAGTGTGGTCTTACGTTCTTCCTTTTGAAATTAGTCAGCCAGGGGAGAAAGTGCTTTAAAACTAAGTCTTTGAGAACTTCTTCAAGCTGGGTTCGTGTAAAAAGTTTAATTCAGTTTATAAAAAACCACATAGCAGGTTACTTAATGCCCTGGAAGAAAGTAGGAATTTAAAAACAGTTCAAAATGAAGGGGCCAAACAGTGGGCCTGGGTATAAATTTAAGTAGTCCATCTAATCCATGTTTACTTTTAAGTATTTGAGTGACAGAGGTAACTGTAACACCAGAACCTTTTGTATGTATAGTCGCTAATATTTTCATTGTAGCAACACATTTTTCATTAAAATTTCTGATAGAAATAAATTAAGAAACAAAATACCCACAACTCTGTAGAGAAAATTACTAGAATTAACCCTTCTTTATGGTTTCAAGTCAGTTCAAATAATGTTTAAGGGCTATAAATTGGCAGCAAGTCAAGATTTTTTCTTCAAATCAAACTCTCCAAATTATTAACTGCCCAATTGTTTGTTTATATTGTATTGTGACAAGAGCCCATGGCCATTTTGAAATAAAAAAGAAATTAGTACAGCACCTTAATTTGTTTTACTGAAAGCTTAAAATTTTTACTTCTCAAATGCCAGATAATTTTCTCGAATGTGGGTTTGATAGATTGCAAAGGAAACTTGATCTGGTTCATTTAGCATGGTGAGATTGCCTGGTATAAAATTATTAATAACCATGGCTCCGTAGGGTAGGTGGCAGACAAGTGAGATTCCTGTTGTCCTTCAGTTTTTCTGTTTTTTTAATTGTTAAATGACTGTAAGCTACACATGGTCTGGCATTTTCAATTCTTTTGAGAAGGTTGATTTCTTCTTTTAAAAGTAAGCATCTTTCTATTTATTTCTTTATTTTTCCTGAAAAAATGCAGAACTTCGAGATCAAATTGTGTCTGTTCAGGAGGAAAAGAAGATACTAGCCATTGAGCTGGAAAATCTCAAGAGCAAACTTGTGGAAGTAATTGAAGAAGTATGTATCTTGGGCCAGAAAAGCAAAGCTTTGATTTCAGAGCCAGTTTAGGGCTTGGCAAAGTTAAGAACTCAGTACTGGAGTTTAATTTTTGACATGAGGACCACGGACCAGTTTTACTCTTTTCTCTTCCCCCTACTTCAGATGCACGGAATAGCACAGCCTAGTGGTGTCCAGCACATACGCCTTAGTGGGCTGTTTGCATCGTTGAAAGCTCTGAAAGGTTTGCTAGCACTGGCATAGAAAATCTCATCCTGAACATCTGTGCCCACCCCTTTGCTTGATAAATAAAACACAGAAAGCACATTGACATGTTCTCTCATCCCCCATTTTTTCAGGTTGGTAGAATGGTAGCTACTTTTAAGAGGCACACACTCCACTGTTTCTGGTGAAGAAGGAGAGTAGTTTGCTTCTCTGGCTCAGTGGGAGGTGCTGTCCTGCTGTGGCCGTGCCATGTTGGTTAGACAGTAGTTGGGGTTCAAGCAGAAATTTGGAGTTTCCCCCTTTTTCTCTTGAACTGTTTTTAAGACCAGGACCACATGGTTGCCTTTTCTGCATCTTTGTAACCTTGATCCAACTTGTATCTGTGGTTGTCAGACTTGGTAGTCTGGAACTTCCCAGCTGATGTGCTGACCTGATGATGCCACCAGAAGGCTTAGGAGTAGGGCAGTTGATCCCACAGTGAGCAACCTCCCTAGTCACTGCCTTCCCTTCCATGGATTGTTAGTTCCTTGAAAGGCAGGACGTAAACAACGACAGGAAGCAGTGGCCACCAACCTCCTGCGCCCAGCCACTTTTGCTTTATTGCATAAAAACAACTTAATGAATGGGAAGAAGTATGATGCTACTTTGAAAGCGACAGTACTGTTGAGTAGTGTATGTCAATTATTTAAACCAGAAGCAAAAATAGAAACAGAAAAGAGGAAGCAGTTCACAGACCATCTAGAGGTGCTGATAGCACACTCAGGAACGTGTTCTTAATCTATTTTTTGAGTATAACCTCAAGAGGGACAGAAAACACATCTGGTATGGTTTATTCCTCAGTGATGATAACTTATTGGTGATTCTTTCCACTCCCTCCCAGAGGTTATTGGAAGACAATTCTGAGATTATTTTTATTATGCCATTTTAAATATCTGAAAGGGTTTGAGAAATAAAATAATGAACATTCATATACTTCTACTCAATTTCATACAGAAGCCATTAGCATACTAAGAGAAGATGGCATATCCCTCCCCCACCATATCCTCACCCACTACTCAGTTTCCCTAGGCAGCTATTACTTTGAACTCGGTGGTTAGTATAAATTTACATGTTTAGTACAATATATACTATTTTGAGTGTTTTTAGACTCCGTAAATGTGCCTTCTTTTTAAATTTAGCATAATGTATTTGAGATTTATCTGCCTTGTTCTGTTTAATTTTACATTCTTATTTTTAAAATTGTTCTAATGGCATTCTACTGATTGATAGCAAAGGTTATTTGAGAAATTTTATTTTGGAGGAATACTTTCATATGTATTTCATTTGAGCTAAAAGTCATAGAAGGTTAAATACTTTTTTTTTTTTTTTTAAACTTTCAAAGTTGGTGTGTGCTTTACCATCAAGGGCCATAAACTATCAAAGTGTAAAATGAATCCCCAAATTTAGTATTAGATCTTTGACTAAATGATTTGTAATCTATGGTTGGATTTTTGTATTTTAAAAAATGAATCATTGACACTAGGTGGCTAGAATGCTGCTGTGGTTAGGGACCAAAACCAGTGCCACCTGGAGCACGTGAGTCAGACAGGCATCAAGGATGCACGCTAATTTGAATAGCACCTTGAAACTCTGAAGAGCTTTCGGGAAGGGTTGGCACAGGGAAGCTAGTGTCTGCCTTGCATCGTAACTTCATGGGGCTGGCTGACCAGCCCTTTGGTATCATACATTGCTATATGTCATGTCTTACAACTTTGGGTGTTTTCTCCTCTCAAAATCTTATACTTTTTAGGTAAATAAAGTTAAGCAAGAAAAGGCTGTTTTACATGCAGAAGTTCTTGAACAGAGGAAAGTCTTAGAGAAATGCAATAGAGGTATGTCTTTCTGGTCTTTTTCTGGATATATATGTAATTTGTTTTGTTTACATGTATTTCATGTCATTTTCTGCTTGTGTTTAAAGATTCTTGTGGCCAAAATTTTACCTACATTGTGTTTTCCTGGCAGTAAATCTCTGATTCTTACTACTTTATCACTAGGGGTATTTAAAAGTGGTTTTACTTGAGGAACTTGGAACCCATTCATTTTAAAACTTTGAACATAAATACTACTTCTGCCTTACGTATATATGGGGACCACAACCATTTTGGCTATTTCCTCCGTATTTATTTATTTGATAGGTCACTTAATAAATCTCAATCTAGATGAGATTAAGCTATTTACATAAATATGCAACACAATATGAACATTTTATTTTATTTATTTTTTGGTACCAGGGATTGAACTCATGATCTTGCGACCTGGCAGGTACTTATGCCACTGAACTAAATCCTCAGCCTGATACGAACATTTTAAATTAAGAGGAGTGAAAAATGGGACCAAGTAAAGTGAAAACACAAATTAGTATACAAGTGCATAGTACTTGCTCTGAAGTCTTGCAGAGTTCCTGCCTTTGTGCCTGAAATCTGTTTGTGCATTCTCTAGCAGCCAGTACAATGAGAGATTCATTGAGCCTTTAAATCAGTTACACAAGCACAAATCCCATGATCAGAAAAATCAGCGCTGGTCTCAGGGGGAGAAGGAAATGTCTCCAGTGGCTACTTCCAAAGAAAACTGTCACTCAGTTAACAGTAACCTTAGCATCCTTATTGTAAAACACAGCATCAGCTTTCATGGGAACTGCTTCTTGTATATGTCAGGTTAGGAAGTAATGCTGAAGTGCGGCTTTGTAAAAATAGTCCTAATAGAAGGGACTGTCTTTTTCTGTTGCTTTTAGCAAAATATCAAAGCTCAGTACTTGATAAAGAAAAAAGATTTATTTACCTCCCAGTTTCAGAGGTGCAAGAGCCTGGCACCAGCATCTCTTCACTCTTGCAAGGACCCTTTTCGTTGGGTCACAGCACAGAAGATGGCTTGAAAGTGGGAGTACAGTTGGAAAGGGAGAGTTCAGATAGCAAAATGAGAAACCAGTGCCTTGGGATGTACCAGTACTGGTCTTTTAATAGCGACCCACTCTAGTGAGAACCAGCCTACTTCCTACTACCAGCATTAATTTCTCCGTAGTGCAGCATCCCCAGTGACATAATTACCTGGCACTAAGTCCTCCCCCTTAAAGGTCCACCACTACTTTTTAATACTACCATATGGGACCAGGCTTTCAACACCTCTACCTTTGGTAGAACAGACCATAATCAAACCATTGCAGAGATTTAATATGCTTCTTCTCTCTTTTTCTCTGAGCCACTGATTCCCAGCTCAGAAGCTGTGACACTAACAGGAAATCTTTCAGACCTGAGGACTTACCACATTTGGTGGTGGCTCGCAATCATTGCATTGTTCATTAGCTGGGAGTTTTGAATAAACAACTATCCAGTTATGTGTGTGGGAGTTACATCAGACTTTTCTTTAGGTCCAAATTGATTTACAGAGATAATTGTTGAAGAATTTGTAGCCCGGATGCACTGTGCTAGAAACAGGGTTCCAGAGAGGTTTTAATCATATGGCTCTTGCCTTCAGAGAGCCTCCTATCTAGAAAAAGAGCAGCCAGATTAATAAATATACTGGGAGGCTCACCCTGATTTCTTTTAAAACTACAAGTCAAAGGGACCTGGATATGTGAAAATTTACTTTTTATTATAGTGTTCTGAACCTAGAAAGGAAAGTCAATTATCTTGCCCAGGGTTTCAGATAGTCCTGCTTGTCTTTGTTTGCTTCATGAAATTTCTCTTTTAAATACATTTAAAAATCATTTAGCTCTCAGGGACCTGTAATTCACGACACAAAACCACCACTTACATTACTTTCCTTGAGTAAGACTATTCGTCTTTCATCTGAGTAGGCAGTAGATTTACAGAGTGCAGGGTTTGAAATTCTATGTCATTACACAGCAAACCAGTCCTTAGTCAGTTAGTACTAAAGTGTCCTGGCGGCACAGTGTGTGAAAGCGGCCATTAAGAGGGCCTTTGAGAGAGGTACTGATAGGACTCAGCTGAGGGTGGAGGAGCTTCACCTCTGGCACATGCAGAGTGTGGTGCTTCCGGTGTTGTGCCTCATGTTATCACTGCTTTGTCCTGTTCATTCTGGGACAGAGTAGCCCTGAGAGTTAAGAGCAGCGAGGGGTTCATGTTGCCTTTGTTTGACAGGACATCCTTGTTGAAGGTTTCTGTCCTATAGTAGTAACTCTTTAGTACAAAGCTCTTCTTCTTGGCCTGAACGGATCCAAGTCTCCTTCTCTGCTTTGTAAACATGAAGATGCTTCAAAATACCACATATATGTGTGTATATAAATATATGTATTATTTTTATTAGATTATATACTTTTTGTTGGGAAATTTAAACTCATTTGGGACATGAAAAATCTTTAAGTTCAGAGATGTGTACCATTAAAATTTTAGTGTATATTCTTCCAACTAAGCTATATATATATATATATCTTTTTGTTACATCTATTTATAATGTATATAAAAGAACAATAGTAAAAGAATCTACTGATGCCTTACAAGTCCCTGAATATCCCTCACATTCATACCTCTTCTTTTAATTTTTACCATTTCCTTTATAGTTTTGCCAAATACATGTGTATGCCTAACATTACATTGTTTAATCATGCGTGTTTTTGAACTTGATAGAATTGCAATGATTTTATGTATAACCTCTGTGCATTTTTTCATGTTTGTGAGATTCTTCATGTTGAAGGGAATAGTTGTGGGAGGTTTATGTTCACTACTGTATTATGTTTCATTAGACAACTGTACTAAGATTTGTTTATTCATTATCCCCTTGTTGGACATTTGAGTTATTTCCAGTTTTTTTCTTATTCTAAGTTATGTGTCATGAAAATCCTACCTATTTCCTGGCATATGTCCAAGAATTTCATTAGACAGGAGCCAACTGTAATGTTTTATCTTTAGTTTCACTACATAAATTACGTAGCAAATCAGTCCATCCATTTATGTTCTGGTGAGCAGTGTATTTGTTTTCATTGTTATGTATGTTCTCCAAGCTTAACATAACCATGCTTTCTATTTTTTACCAACTCCTTCTTTGATGGATACAAAAAGGTATTTGTATTCATATTTCTTAATTCCTAATAAATATGACTGTCTTTTGACATGTTTATTGCTCTTCCATATATTTCCTGTCCTGTGAAATTCCATTGATGTACTTTCTCTGTAACTGTAAAAAATGGGTAAAAAAATGCAAAAATAATTTTGTGCAGATTTTTGCAATTCATTTATTTTTAAAAATATACCACAAAGCTCTTTCTATTCACTGAATATGTTTTTACATTATTTTGATGGCAGCAGGCTATTTCTTTTACTACGGTGTACTGATTCTCTAATGTTAGATGATTTCAGTATTTCCAGCAATACTGAGAGCATCCTTGGAACCAGTTATCTATAGATAGCCATGATTTTTTTTTTCTGGATATGCATTCCTCAAAGTAGAATGGTTGAGTCAAAGGATACAAATAGTGTTCAGTGCTTGGTTCATGCTGCCAAGCTGCCCTGTGAAAATGCTCTTAGTTTATCAGTTTATATATGTCTACTAGGAACAGACGGGGTGCTTGTGTGCCTGTGTGAAGACACTTTTCCATACTGTTTTCCATGCTTCTTCCTGGTCATTGTTATGGTATATTGTCTCTTTTTCTCATCTTCTTAAGTGTCCATGTTGGCAGTAGAAGAATATGAGGAGTTGCAAGTAAACCTGGAGCTGGAGAAGGACCTTCGAAAGAAAGCAGAGTCATTTGCACAAGAGGTGTGTACATTGAGAGACACAGGTTTTTTTTCTTAATAGGCTTTGCAAATGACAAATGAAAAAAAATAAAGCCAGGAATAAAACAAAAGTTTTAGTGTTCTACAGCACAATGACTGTAGTTTACAACAATATATTACATATTTTACAAAAAACTAGGAGAGGGGTATGAAGGTTCCCAACATAAAGGAATAATAAATGTGTAAGTAGATATAAATGCTAATTACCCCAATTGATCACTATGTTACATTATATAATCAGCTGTACAGCCATAAATCACTATAAAGCCATAAATATGCAAAATTATTGTGTGAGTAAAAAAGATTCTTTTTGAGTTTGGATAAGAACTTACTGATTTGAAGAACTTAAGATTCACTTGGCCCCCACTTGGGAGGCTGAACCAGGAGGTTTGAGGAGAGTTCAAGGCCAACTTGGACACCACAGTTAGACCTTGTCTCAGAACTTAAAAAGATCGAAAGGACTGGGGATGTAATTCAGTGTGGAGTGCTTGTTTAGCAGGCATGAGACCCTGGGTTCAAGCCCCAGCACTGAAAAACAAAAACAAAACCTAGTTTAGGGAGGCAGCTACAGAATAGTACGAAGTATCAAGTAGATAGGTTCACTGGAGTGATACGAGGATCTGGACTCAGATTTTGGCCATGCCAGATAGAGTCCTGTCACTTCTGAGCAGACCTTAGCCTCTTGGGCTTTCACTTCCATCAGATGAAATAGATGTTGATGGGCCAGGGATATAGCTCAGTGGTTCAGACCCTGCCTGGTAAGGGTGAGGTTGTGAGTTCGATGCCCAGTACCAAGAAAAACAGAAAGAAAGAACAAAGAAAAAAAAAAATAGATGTTGATACTAATGGTGTTAGGTGGATTTTAGAATCGAATGATGTAATTTTTGGAAATATTTTAGTAACTATAAAATGCCCTGTTGGGAGAGGAATTGCATTTGAGAGCCCTGTAACTCACAATGGAGAGTCAGGCTTGAGTCCAAGGTCTGTGTGCATTTCAAATAGCCTAAAGAGTCTGGGCTGCACCTCCACGTGTCAGCTCAGATGATAGCCTCATTCTTCTCTTTGGCCATCGTCTGGTGCTCATCGTGCAGCTCGTTCCTCAGTGCTCGTGGGACATGGGCACACTGTACGTCTGTTACCGCAGCCTTGCACAGTGTAATGATTTACCTCTCATGTCGGAGATAAGCGTGGCGCTTCTCTAGTTCTGCCTACCATGCCAACGTGAAGTGTTGGGTGTCGAGGCCCTGGCGCCGGTTTTCAGGGAAATGACCAGTCACCAGTTGGCTGAACTTGAAGTGTGGTGCTACCTGCAGTGAGATCTCTGTCCCCTAGAAGTACTTTGAATCTAGGTGCATAGCAGGGGTTGAAGGAAGTAATGAAGGACATTTAAAATGGTCCTGAGGAGAGGTATCCAAGGAGTAGAAGAAAGACGGGATATAATGAGACTATGTGAAAATCAGATTAAGTTTTGTGTGTGTAGAATGGGGTTTTTTATGCTTGCCTATAGCAGTATTAGCAGTGAACTCTACAAAAGATTTAGTCCAAGTGCATCTGATTGGAAACATTGTGATTCGTTTTATTCAGAGAGTTTAATGAAAAGTGAGTAAATACTCTTATTACTTGTAAGAAAGAAAAGAGGATTGAAGTGTGCCAAAGCCCTCTGGAAAAAGCTGCAGCAGTATAAATAATGCAGCTAAACAGTGAAGGGGGAAAACACGAGGGAATAATGGGAAGATGCTGTCATTGCGAAACTGACAGGTTGGTTGAGTTTGACCCAAAAGCCAGGGTTTTATCTCAGGATTTTTCCAGGTTTCTGCATGTTGTTTTCACAGTGATGTTAGAAGACAAAGCAGCTCAAAGAAAAGCTTGAAGGCCATACCGTGGCAGAAGCGAATTTTATTCAGTGAGAGTGTTCTGAGAGTGAATGATTTACTCTGCCATTCACCTCGTAGGGCCTTAAGCATCAGTGATATTTGGCACAAGGATTCTGCCTCCTAATGCAGAAGGAAGAGGCAGACATCCAGGGAGGGAAGGCAAAGGCAGTGGTGCTTCTGTTAGTGGTAGCACAAATGTTTGCAGTGGTGCACAATCGTTTTACAATGTCTAGATTTAGTGCTAGATCAGAACCAGTTATTATTTCCCTTAGACATAGCCAATTCTTAGATTTTCAACAGGTAACTGCTACTGAAAGTCACACGACTTAGTTTAACAGCCTCCCTTAGCTGCTATTTGCAGCTGCTCCAGGCAAGGAACCCCAGCTCATTAAGTTTCAAGAGGGAAAAAATACAGAAAGAAACTAGGCCAGGCATGTGATACATTCCTGTATTCTTAGCATCCTGAGAGGCTGAGGCAGGAGCATCACAAGTTCAAGCCCAACCTAGGAAACGAAGTGACATGGTGAGACCCTGTCTCGAAATAAAAAGTGCTTCTAATATAGCTCAGTGCAGAGACCCTGCGTTCACTCTCCAGTACTAAAAAACAATAGCAAGCAAAACAAAGACAAAAGATAATCCTAAAGTAGTTTCTTTTTTACCATTTTACCAATTTACCATTGGTCTTAAATACAAGATACCGTGGACCTCTGGGCCCCTTCTCCAGCCCAGGACATGCACACAGTATACTTGGCCTGTGGCTGCCTCTGTTCCTCCCTCCAGAGAAAGGGAGTCAGATGGAGAGGAATGTGGATTTCATGTACTATATAAACCTGTTTATTTTTCTGTTTGATTTTGCAGTGTTTTAGTTTTGTAGAAAAACAATGTAATGAGCAGGAAAATAAAAGCTGCTTATGTTTTTCCCTCATAGGAAAACATACTGGGAGGAAAATGTGCGCGTTTTTGTATGTTATATTGAGGACTTGATTTTGATTTGAAAATCAGTACTGTCCAAGGATTAAGTTTAAGGATTGTGCTAATCATTAAAGCCATAGTCTCTCATATGATGATTGCTAGAAGATCATTTATTTTGTCCTGAGTTTTACCTGCTGACTTTTTTGGAATAGGATGAATTAAGCTAAATACATAGTGGTCTGCAGCGAGTCTTTGTATAGCATGGATCATACAGTAAAGCTACAGCGTACAGTTTTAAATGCTGTTAAGAATCAAACGGTGTAAATTGAAAGATTTAGAGTTTATAAAAAAAATTTCAGGGTTTGCAAAACATTTCAGGCTGGTATTCAGCTGCTGGCCAATTTGGGTGTGATATTAAGGGAGAGAGATAATAGGTGACTAGAAAGTAATGTTGCCTTAACCATGTAAGATTGTGAGACTTAGAAAGATGATATATATAAACTGCTTGGTCAATCCTTCAGTGAATATCAGTCTGCCGTCTTCCATTTCCCCTTTACCTTCCCCTTATTATCTGTTTTCAGCCCTGTGGAAAACTGAACATTAAGTCCAATAAATAGTACAATTAGTCAGATGAAGATGTTTGGGCTTGTAAGTCAGGCAACTGGGTTTAAATCCTAGTCTTGATGCCCGTGTATGCCATTGGGGAAGTTGCTTAACCCTTCTGAGTTTCAAATGCCTTCCCAATAAAATGGGATGATAGTAGTATCTACTTGACATAGTGTTCTAAGTATCACACGATGTGATGAATGTAAAATGATTACCATCTCTATCATCATTTAGTGAATGTCACCTATTCACAGAAGTATTAAACTCAGGATTTAGATGAGGGTTAAAATAAGGCATATAAAAATAAAGTAAGGCATACAAAATATTTAATAGAATATCTGGAATAAGGTATGTTCTGATACCTATTAATTAGCTACTACTGTTAGTGTTCATGTATTTTATAGTAATAACATTAAAAACTGAAAAGGGATTAAGTTATCACGTACATACCTTGTTTGGGGCAGGAATAAAGGTACCAAGAGTATAAAATTTAGGGAATAAAATCATAGCAATTACTTCTCTTCAAGCTAATCACAATCCAAAACTTTCCTTTGATAACTCTATAATTTCCTTTTGCTGAAATTGCAGTTGAGATTGGTGAGAGATTGGTATATATGTCTTCATGTGATTAACTGTTTCAGATGTTCATAGAACAAAACAAGCTAAAGAGACAAAGTCACCTTCTGCTACAGAGCACTCTTCCTGACCAGCAGCTTTTGAAAGCTTTAGAAGAAAATTCAAAACTCATCCAACAACTTGAAGAAGAGAGAATTCAGCATCAGCAAAAGGTAACAGATTTTATGCTGGAAATCTATGAATGCGCGTGCACACACACTTCAAACAAAAAGAGTTGATGTAGTCTTTTACAGTTCCATATTTCATGTTAATTACTAAGTACTTCCAATCACCTTTTAGGTAAAATAACCATCAAATGAGTGCAACTTATTACCCAACTAAAATGTATATAGCACTCTCGTATTTTGTTTTGTTTTGAGTTTTTCATATTTAATGAGTGTTTATAATTTACTTTATCTTTGTGTTTTTGAGACAGGGTTTCACTCTGCAGTTCAGGCTGGCCTTGAACCCACTTTATAACCCAAGCTGGTCTCAACTTGCATCAATCTTCCTGCCTCAGTCTCCCAAGTGCTGGGATTACAGGTGTACGGCGCCATGCCTGTCCTAGCACACTATTGTAGACTTGAAAATGAATATTGAATATGGATTTTGAAGCATAAACAAAGAGATGACTGAAAATATCTCTGATGGTACATACTCTAGAAACCTGTTTTTGGAAACATTGTGGTATTTTAAGAGACTGTATATACTAGGAGGGTGCATTCTCACTTAGCTTATGTGTATGGGTTGTATTCAAAGTGGGAGGGAAAGAAGAGTCCATGTCAGTAGTAACTACTTGCTTAGAAAAATTTTCTAACTGTGAAGACTTATACCAATGTATTTACTGAAAACGCTTCCCGCAGAATCATTTCAGTGGAGAGGAGTGAAGCTCTTCTGTGGACAGAGTCCCCCCCTTGTACTGGACAGATAGGATGGTCATCATGGTAGTGAACAAGCGATAGGAAGGACAGAAGAGGTGGGAAAAGATGGAAAGAGATGAAGAAAAAAGACTTGCAGATTAAGGGGGCCACTTAAAAGAAAAGTCACATTGATGTTTAAACTATGTACAGGGACCTCACTTGTGAGGAAATGTACTAGCTGTCAGCCCGTCTGCGTTATACTGGAAGTTCTGGAGTTTTTACAAAGTTAGTGGCAAAGCTGAGCTGATGTTTTGTTTCCTCAGTAAGAAAACATTGATATTTGTACAGTGAGGCTCTGGATGAATAAGTGGTAATAGTGACTGACTCAGGGAAAGAGGACCAGGGAACAAGGCAGGGGGAAGGATTTATTTTTAATGTCTTTGTATGCTGGAATTAATTTTTTAATTAAAGTGAAAAGAATTGCTTCTTTTCAGCTTATGCTAAAGTTTAAATTTTGGTTCTGAAAAGTTCAGCTTTGCACAGTTAACTCATTTGGTAAATCATACATACATACATAGAACCTTCTGATTGAACTGATATAATAGGACTAAATTATCTTCTGTGTATGCCTGGTTGGAGAAGGGTGAGAAGTACTAAAGATTACATAAAAATTATGAATTATAGCGAAAATTATTCCTTAAACTGTTACACTGTGTTATCCATTTATTCTAGATAATCCTTCATATGTGTGGCTTAAAATACATTTCATTTGCTGGTTGTGGTATCACATGCCTGTAATCTTACACTGAGGTGGCTTAAGCAGGAGGATCGCTGTGAGTTGAGGCTACTCTTGGCGACATAGTGAGTTCCAGGCCAGCCTGAACTGCATTAGTGGGACCCTGTCTCAAACAATAAAGCAAAGCAAAGCAAAGCAAAACAAAACATGTTTTACTTAAAGAAAATTAAGGTTGTCAAAATTGTCTACTTTGGTACATAACTAAACTTTATGTAAATATATAAATATATATATTTTGTATGTTTGTTTAAATGGAATCTTATCCTACATAAAATTCTATATGTAATCCTTAATATCTTCACATTTCAGAAAATAGAAAGCTATGTGATAATAATTGATTTATAATATTTTATTTAATGAACATTCTATTGTTTATTAAACCAATAGTATTGGTGGACATTTAGATTATTTCTGGTTCTTCATTGTTATAAAGTGAATAAGTTTGTGCATTTGCCTGAATACTTTTTAAAAGAAATCCCTAAAAGTGTTGTTATTGAATCTCAAAGGGTCTTTTTTCTCCTTTTAAGACTTGCATAGTAGGCATGTACCACCATACCTGACTTTTTTTTTTTCTTTTTAGCAATTTTGACACTAAATTGTGACTGGTGGGGGTCTTTTTAAATACTTGAATCTCTCTCTGGCAAATGAGTTATGAAAATATTAATCTGTTTTAAGTAAACTTTTAGGTATTGTTTTATTTTTTAATTCACATTTAAAGATTAATATTTTAAAATTAAACTCCCCAGTAAATTTATATTAAATATTTAAAAATTAACTCCCTGGTAAATTTGTATTACATTCAAGAGTTTATCATGGTTGTAAGTATTACCTGTATCTGGAATTTGTATGATTTTAAAATGGGTTGGAATTTTTCTGCTATGAAGAGCAATGTCATAAAATATTTTTTCCTTTTGATTGATGAAAGAAAACCTATTACATCATTAAAATTTCTTTAAAACTTACAGGTCAAAGGATTGGAGGAGCAACTAGAAAATGAAACACTGCACAAAGAGATACACAACCTCAAACAGCAACTGGAGCTTCTAGAAGAAGACAAGAAGGAGCTGGAATTGAAATACCAGAATTCTGAAGAGAAAGCCAGAAATTTAAAGCATTCTGGTAAAACTCAGGACCCATGTCTTATTCTCCATTTGTTAAGGTCAAGAACAAAACATGGCATATAGTCAGTATGAAATACCATGGAAAAACACCAAGATGGGTCTTTAAATTCCTTTCTTTCTAACTGCAGACGCTCAGTAGAATAACCTCTGCCATCAAATGGTTCAAAAATATTTAGACTTTCTCTTTGGATATCGAGGTGCAAGATTAGGACTCAGAGATGCCCTTAGCATGGAATACCAAAAATTTCATCATTTCTCAGGGCTTTAGAGATGAATGTTCTTTGTTACTTCATCTTGTTCATGTCAGAGTACTTTTTGTAAAAGAATTTTTCTATAATACATTCATCTTTGGTGTTCATGTTCCTTCTTTGCAGACTAATTATACACATGAAATAATACTTTGTATGCCACACCTAACAATGAAATGGGCAACAATATATATATTAAAAGGAAAGACTTTTAAAACACCAGGGGATGCTTAAATCAAAGGATGTATTCATTCAGTGCTAGAAGGCTTACCAGGAATGTGTGAGCTGGATTACTACACAGGCATAAGTATAAGTCTCAGTTAGAAGGTAGGTAATTTAAGGAGGCAGGTACATTCCCTTTATAACAGCTTCAATATTCACTTCAGATATTTTTGGTTAATTTTATACTAGAATTTTAAAATCTTTGTGAAACCATGTAGGCTTTTAAAATGTTCAATGCTTCTTCACAATGAAAATTGATTACAATTTTATTTTTTAAAAATTGATCCAAAATTATGAAATTTTCCCTTCCTGAACATTGTAGTAGCCTATAACCAAAGCTACCTTTATGGTGAAAAGGAGTAGGCCCTAGAGATAATTGAATGCATTTATTTATAATTTGCTGTGTGTGTACCCAGCTCAGACCTAGGTTCCACTGAGAAATATAGAGGAAAATAAAGCATGCTGTTTGTGGTCAGGTTTCAGAATTGGTTTGGAGAGACAGATACTTGTGTGTGAAATGGTTGGAATGCTCTGGGTGTTGAGAAGATAGCCCACACTGCCTGCGTAAGGGCTGAGGGTGAAAACAACAGTAGATCATGGGCAGAGGAAGCTACCTCAGAACAGTATTCAGCAGAGTCACCCGTTAGCCCAAGTTCTAGGATTAGCATCTGTGAGACACATTTATTTACTAAGTTATTTTTGTGTTTCTGGGTATTGAACACAGGGTGTTATGCTTGCTAGCCAAGGCAACGCTCTGCCACTGAGCTACATCCTCAGCCCTGCAAGCTCCTTGAAGCTCACAAATTGAGTTCCGGGAAGTCAGGAATATAGTATGTCTCCCACAGAACTGTGTGTAGGCTTCTTCACATTGTTAGTATTTAATAAGTGTCTGTCTCATTAGTGACATGAATGAATAAATTGTATTTCTAGAGTTTCTTCAAAAAAGCAGAAAGTTTCTGGGACACAGGCATTCAGGAATCTGAGCCTGGTTAAAATCAAGGACTCTATAATGTTGCAGTTTTTGAAGGAAATGCAGCGGAGGAGCAAAGTATGCAACTATTAAAGTTCTTTAGTAAATGTCATCTTTAAAATTAACTCTTAGTCCCTACACTTTTAAATTCAAGCGTTAACAGTCTCCTAGTGTTTGAGCAGTGCACTACATTGTTACAAATATTTCTTCAACCTACTCAATCCTTACTTCCTACCCATTAGCCAATGTCTTGAATTTTTTTGTTTTTCCAAAATCATGTATGCAGGAAAAAGATGGAAGGCCTTTCTTGCATAAATGATAAACTAAATAATAAAACATTTTAAAAATCTGCAGTTTCATATTGAAATTATTAATGGCCTCATAAAAAGCACTTGGTTTTGAGAGATTATGTCATTTTATTCTTTCACGTGTATAAAAGATGTTGAGTTACTTTTTCCTCTCTTTCCTGAACTGCTTGCTGCCTGTGCAGTGGATGAGCTTCAGAAACGAGTGAACCAGTCTGAGAATTCAGTGCCTCCTCCACCTCCTCCTCCACCACCGCTTCCCCCGCCACCTCCCAATCCCATCCGGTAAGCAAGAGCAGGAAGACACTCACTCCGCGCTCAGCCCTACTTCCTGTCTGAGAACTTGGCTGTGCTAGTGGTGTCCTTTTCTTTTGAATACAAGCTTAGATTACATCATTAGAGGAACAGTAAAAAGTGTGAAAGATAGCACTTCTCTTGGAAAACTTTCTAAAGGCTGGTGTACGAATCCCTTTCTGTATGATAGGTACGTGATAGACAGGTAGGCAGGCAGACAGACAGACAGACAGAGTAGGCCTTTTAAATCCCTGGCAAGGGAGTCTTAGGGCCTATGAGTTTTATTGCTTGTTTGTAAATCCTGAGATACAACCTGGATGTTCCAAGCCCTGGAGCTTGACGTTAATTTTTCATTTTAGGTGCTTTAGTTTTAGGGTTTCCTTCCACAACATTCAGATTTCATTTAACTGTGCAAACAGGAATTTTGAGTGTCTTCAAAATGTTTTCACTTTTTTTTTTCTCTTCACTGGTTGAATTTGAAAAGCTTTGGTTTATTCACTTATTTTTAAAAGCACTAATGTAAAATTTAAATCTGTTACAAATTACTAATTAATCTAAAAGAACTAATTATTTTTAATCCTCATATTTAATGTTTTAGTTGCCAAGGGAGGAGTTTTCTGTAAGAAAAATAGATTGTAGTTAAATTCTGGGAAAGGAAATTTGTTTTTTCTGAGGCCTAAGGTGACTTGGTGGTTTCCAGTGCTTTCCTTGAATGAAATACAAGGTAGCCAGATCTAAAGTCCGATTTTACCTGCTTCGGGGCCCTGCCTGATGCCACCCAGAATTACAGAAGACAGCCTACTTGCCATGGTGACCATATACTTTGTGACACCACGTAAGCTGCTTTTGTATAATTTATTCTTGAACAAATGGCATTTAAACTTTTGCTTGGTTTTTTAGCTTTCATTAACTCATGTGATTTGTTTAATCCTTTCACACAGAGAGGCCATTTATTCATACTTTGTACCTTTGCTGATCCATCTGAATAGAATGTGTAGTGTGTTCCTCCCACATGACTTGAAAATGGGACTTTGCCTTTTAAAAAAGATTCTCATTACTTTTCCTTACTGAGTGGAGTATGACATAATCTACTTTAAGCCACTGAAGTAGTTAAGGCTAAATAATTTCTACACACGATCTGTCCAAGAGTCAATTGAAAGAATTTCAGGTATTTTAAATTCTTTCTCTCCTGGGCAGCTAGCTCTATAAGATATATTCTGAATTTGACATTTAAAATTAGAAATTCATCACTTTGATCTTTGAGGTCTAGAAATTTGAGCTGATGAGAAAGGTTACTTCTGTGAGGAAGGAGAAGTATTAAAAGGCAATTACAATCTTATGGTTGGCCTTTAATTTTTTAGTCTCAGAAATGTTGAGTGCCCCTAAAATTAAAAGTAAAATATAAACTAAATAGAATTTTATTTCTCAAAGAGTACTTTATAATTATAATTCCATGGAAATGAGTGTAAGATTAAGGACTATGTGCATACATCTCAGGCACACACTGTTTTATAAGGCTTTTCACAGAAAATTTTTATTGAATAATATGGCTTTTATTTTGAAATGAATTTATATAATAAGGACATATATCATTTTTCAGAAAAATAATTCTTTGGTGAGGAATACTTTCTTGTCAAAGAAATGTATTGAGTGTATGTTGTGAGTTTCAGTGAACTTTGAACGCAGCAGTCAAGGTTTTCTGACTTCGTCCCTGAGCCATTTGTTTCGTCCTGATGTAGACCATAGATTGATGTGAAGTGGAGCTGAAGGGAGGCTCAGGCGTCTATAAATGGCTTTATTGTTTTTTCCCTTCACCTTCCCTCTCTTTCCACCTAGACAACGATAGAGAGGAAGGTGAAAGAAGGCATGCCGTGGTCATGTCACTGGAGAGCAGCGAAAGTAAGACTGGTCTCAGGCAAGGCGGCACGCAGGGAGAACCCCGAGTGGTGGTTTGAAGGCACTCAGGCAGGAGGGATTCTTTTTACCAAGGGAAAAGTCATTGTTTTTGTTCAATTAGACCTTCAGCTGATTCGGTGAGGTCCATGACATGAGGGAGTCAGCCTGATTTTCTCAGCTACAGACGTAAATATTAATCTCTTCCAAATCACCTGCACAGAAGTACCTATTTGATCAAATACATGTGTATGCTCTGGCCTGGTCAGGTTGCTGTATGAAACAACCATGGAGAAGAACACTTCATGAAGAACTGCAAAGAAGAAAATTCACCACTGACTTAGCTGTCTTAGAATGACTGCTGCTTGTAGGTTTCATCCCTTCAGTTGAAAGTGTGATTCCATGAGACAGCATTAGCCAGGGATTTGGACTATTGGTCCCAGATGTCTTGCTCAGTTCTGCTTCTCTATTATGTGGTCCACACCATGTCTTTGCTATTCTTAAAGCTCTGCCTTGATGGATTATTCTTAATATGACAAATAATTTTCCTCTGGGCACCAACCTCAATGCAGAACATTTTAAGCTAAGATTTTCTGTCATCTACCAAGGTGATTTACAGCGATAAACATACATTATCACATATGTGAAATATATATAAATACTCTGAGCAGTATAAGCAAGTTCCTGCTTCATCTTTTTTTGGGGGTGGTAGTGGTGGTGGTTAGTACCAGAAATCAAACTAGGGATCTTGAGCTTGCGAGGCAGGCTCTTGTGCTGCTGAGCTATATCCCTGGCCCTCATCCTCTTTATGGACAGGAATGCATATTCTCAAAATTTCCCCTCTGAATAAGCACTGAGGTTGTTACTGGGTGAGGTGAGACGGGGAGGAGAGAACCCTCCCCAAGCCCACTATGCCTCACATGATGATGAGTAAACATTGAACTCCAGGCATTTAGTTGACAAAAAGAGAAAAATGAACACATAAATTCACATTATTTCATTTCTGACAACTTCTAGAATCAGATGTGCTTATTTCCAACTCACACGGAAGTGAGTGTGCCTAACCTATGTGAAAATAGTTCGTTTCCTCTTGGGGCCCTCATGAGTCCAGAGGCGATGTAAGCTAGATAGAATCACAAGCTCGGTGGTCAGTTGTTTCCCGGTCAGGCAGGACCGTGACTGTTGCAGGATGGAGCAGGCTGTGGTACTTTCTCCGTCCTGTGCTTTATGGGGGAGATTGTCCAGTGTGGTTTGAAACTTTCAGAAAAAGCAGCCAGGAAGATGATTAATATATAAAAAAAAGTCACACATTAGAGTGAGTAGGCAACATTAGGTCCTCTGAGCACGTCTTTATCTGCTTGTTCCTGGGCTCCTTTCTTTCAGGGCAGCATGATGGTTTCTAGTTCTCTAGGTATTTTTTTCCATTGCCAGCTTCCCAGCATGTCTTGCCTGGAACTGTATTTTATCAAACCCAGTTTACTTTGGTAATTGAAAGAGTAAACAAAAAAAAATTTCTAGATTTTCTTGCTTGAGACTTTTTGTGGGGAAAACTTTAATGTATATGTGTACAAGCTAATGTACAGATCAAGAAACAGAACAAGGCAGGCATCCTGGGATCCTTTCCCAAACACATCTCCTTAGTCCCTGACGGATGAATCTAGGACCTTTGCACTGAGCTACATCCTCAGCCCATTTTATTTTTTATTTTTAGACAGGATCTTGCTAAGGCACTAAATTGCTTAGTTGCTTGAATTTGTGATCCCTCCTGCCTCAGCCTCTCAGAGTGCTGGGATTGCAGATGTGCACCACCATACCCAGATTGACCTGACTTTTATGGTAATCATCTCGTTGTCCCTCTTAAAAAAAAATTCTGCTTATGTTATGCATACTGTAGGGATGGAAAATGTATGCTGCCTATCCTCACCCATCATAAGGGACACTTCTGTAGCACAAGGCAGGTTAGCAAGAGAAAAGCACAACCAATATATTAATTGAAGTTTTATGCGATACAGGAGCTTTCAGTAAAAGGACTGCAGACCCAGGGAAAGCTGTCTGTTTTTATGCTTAGGCTCAGTGAAGAACAAAGGGATCTGAGCTAATGATCATAGACCAAGAGGGAATCTAGCAAGGCCTAGGTGCTCAGATTCTTCTTGGCCTCTCTGTGTAGCATTCCTTCTTCTTGGCTATGAGGTAGGATGAGGGTTTTATGATTTACTGTCAGACAAGGTGAGTTACAGGCTCCCTTCCTTCCATGCACAAAGCAGAGGAAAGGTTAACAGCAATATGTCAAGTTTCTGTGCTTGGCCTGAGGGAGGGGTAACTGTGGTCCCTGGGAATTGCTTCTCAGATAAGACAAGACAGGAGGACAGAGAGACTTTCTAAAGTCTTCCAGTAGGTCTTCTTTGTTAATAGTAGTAAGCATGCCAAGGGGTATTTGTGGGAAATTTTGTTTTGAGCCCCCAAGGATCCCTAAACTACTACAACTGTACTATTGTAACTACTATAATATCTGCATGGCCTATTTCTGAACTTTCTATGATTGGGGTTTTCCTATATTCACTATGTCTTGTCCTTTTCACTGTACATTATTTTGTAAGATTGTCTGTGTTGTGTTGTGTGGTGTTATGTTGTGTTGTGTTGTGTGTCAGTTCACCCCTCACTTGATACATGGTTTACCTTATGACTGTCTCAAAATGTACTTACTTGTTATGGTGGTGATAAGACATTTGACTTCCTACCAGTTCAGAGAATTTATAGAAATTCCACATGAACATTCTTGCACATGGATCCTGCTTGTATTTAATTTTCTGATACATAGTGGAATTACTAGTTCTTAGCAGATACATGTGTGTATGTTTAGCTCTCCTAGATAGTGCCAAGCAAGTAGCCTTTCAGAGTGGCTCTATCAGTTTATATACCCTGTTCAACATGAAAATTCCTCACCACCACCATTTTATGTAGTCAGACATAAAATATTTCTGTGGATTTGGTAAGTGAAAAGTGGTACCTTCATATGAATTTAATTTGTGTTTCCTAATGATTAAGGAAGTTAGGTACCTATGTTTTTATGTATATTTAAAGCTTGGATATCTTTTCTTGTGGCATTTTGGAATTTTTGTCTATTTTATTCTGTTATCTGCTGTTTTTCATTGATTTGTAGACTATATACTTTTTCTTTTTATAGTGCCTTCAATTGGAGATTTTAAAATTTCAGTGTGGTCCAAGGTACCACATTTTGGAATTTGTGTATTGATTTTAGTAATGTGGTAGAGACAGTATATTTTATATCTAAGCATTTTGTTTACATCATGCAGATTGAGATGTTTTTATATCCATGTATCACCAGTAGACATTAACTGTCACATATAGACTGCTTTTTAATGTGAACTATCTTGATTTTTTCATACTTTCTTGTCTCTTAAATGTACTGCACAAATAGCTGTTTCTGAATTTTTATGTGCATATTGAAATTTTCTCTGTATTTATTTTCCTGTTAAGTATGTGTTAGTAATTATAGCAGTCTCCTTCCTTTAGTAATTAGTTTGGTTTTACCCAGAAGGATGATTCATATTTCTTTTCTGTAAGGTCATAACAAATTTAATATTATCAAAAGTGGAAAGGAGATGACTTAAATTCTAGTTGTACATGAGTATTCACCTCCACAGATAGATTTACTGATGATTTAAAATCTATGCACCTTACCTGTTGGAAAACTCCTGTTGACTTGTGTCTTCCCCCTAAAGGTCCCTCATGTCCATGATCCGAAAACGATCCCACCCCAGTGGTAGTGGTGCTAAAAAAGAGAAGGCAACTCAACCAGAAACAAGTAAGTGTTATCTACATTGGGTTTACTTTGAGCAGTTGATGGTGTACAATTTTTCAATTCATGTGTGTGTTGGGGTCATTGTGGACAGGCTGCTGGAAGAGAAGAGTGAGGAACAGCTAGAGAGGAACCAGATATCCAAGGTTATTGTCTAGAAGAGATAACTATGTATGCATGCCACTGTAATAAGAGATACACCAGGAAATATGTTTTCATGGAGGAATGAATATTTTGGGGTAGCATAGAGATTCCAGAGGAAGGTTTGGAGAAAGATTTCTTTGAGTTGCCAAGTTCCTACTGTGTGCTACACTGGTATCATGCATCAGCAAGGCAGTTACTTACAGTGTCTTGTTATGGCTCATACAGTGAGGAAATGCATGATGCATAAATGTAGAGCATCCTGTATGAAACTTATCAAGTATCAGAGTATAGGCAACTACTTTAAAGGCAATAAGATTCATTATGATGCCCATTCTGGTTTGACTATTATCCTCTTTTGAGGTGCTGTAAGATTTACAAAGTTTAGGTTTTATTGGTCTTGTTCTCTCTGCTGTTATGTTTAACTTTATAATACCTAAAGAGATAGACAATTCTTCTTAAGGATACAAGAGGCATTATGGTAACCATTGTTGATAACCTTGTACTCTGTTTTTACATCATGTGCTATGTCTATCCTTGGTTTTGACTGACAGCTTTGTTTTATCATGCTTGATTTAATTCTCTTACAAAAAAAAAGTAATAAGATCTAAGGGAGCAATTAAGCCCAAAATGTGTAAATTTTGTTGTAATAAAGAGAGGGAAAGAAAAGTGCCCTGAAGGATACAACAGCAAGGGTGTTTAGGTGTGTTACATAGAAGACCATATTAATAGTTTGGATTGGATTACTGAATACAACTGTTTGCAGTCTCACTGTTTGAATGTTCGCTTTGTGTGCTTTGATCCTGTGACCTGAAACACCGTTTCTAAGATGATAGCGAGTAATCTATTAACTGGTGAGAGCATACTGTTTTTTGTTTTTTTGCTTTTCTGTAGTTCTGAATTACTTGTACCCTTACACTGTTTTGTTTTGTTCTGCTTTTTTTCTCTTTTTCCTTTTAAATAAAATATTTAAAAATAAATAAATTAATTAATTAATTAATGTAGAGCATCAAACATTGGATCATTTGTGACACTTTAGGATACGCATTTACAATGTAGAGATGGTCTCGCTATCACTGTTTCCTTGTTATGTCAGCACGTTGGATGGCTCTTAATATACATTTGGCAAAGTTTTCAGAGCTTCCAAGTGGGGAATTCTTCACTTACTACTCCTAGGAAGCTTGGTCGTGAAGAATCTGTGAAATATTTGAGCTGTGATTTTAAAATTAAAATATAAAAAATCATTATGAACATTGAAGTTAATAATTGTGATATTGACAGGCATGTATTGAACAGGCCAATGCTGAGTTTTCAGTGGCGTGCCTAATGTTTATCATTTATTTCAATCATTTATTGGTTGTTTATTTTTAACCTCTCTATGTGTCAGTTTGCTAACCTGGACAACAGGGGTAATAATACAGTAGTTACCTACTTTCTGTGATTTCAATTACCCTTGTCAACAATGAAAATATAAATGAAAAATTCCAGAAATAAGCAACGTAGGGGTTTTCACTTGCTGTTTTGAGTAGCATGATGAAATCTGACGTCCTGCTCTGGCTTGCCCAGATGTGAATAATCCCTTTTTCTAGTGTATCCATGATGTATGTGCTACTCACCATGAGGCAATCAAGGAGATCCCATTCTCATAACTTTAGTATAATGTATTCTTAAAATAGTTATATTTTATTACTAGTTATTGTTGTTAAGCTTTTACTGTACCTAATTTATAAATTACACTTTACCATAAGTATGTCTGTGTAAGAAAAAACAGCATTATGTATGGCTCAGCCACTATAGGGGTCTTGTAACATATGCCCTGCAGATAAGCAGGAACTGTTACATTTCCTGTTTCATCGGGTTGGTGTAAGAATTCATAGGTCTCATATTATGAAAAATGTTTAGTGTAGGACTCAGTGTGTATGGAACACTCAAAATGTTAGCTAAAAACTAGACAGGTTACCAGCCACCCTTTGAAGAGTACTAAAGAGAGTCATTCTCCAACAGGCTCTTACAGTATTGTAGTTAAGGAAATTTCCTTAATTTTCTGGCCGTAGGTCAAATTTAAACTTACTTAGCCATAGTGTATTCTTTTAAGATTTTATACCTTGTGATGGCATAAAATTTTGCTTTGTTTTTTAATTCACCTTTTAAAAAGTTATCAGTGGAATTTAGAAATTTAGTTTTTTCCAGATAATAATAGAAGATACTGTTGACTAGCAAGGTGATGGTTCCATCTGTAAGTTTCCATCCTGTTTTTCCTTTTTGGAACTAATTCATTTTTCAAGTGAGTCTCAAAATTTAAGCCCCAATTAATTACATGTAGCTTTCTGATATAAGACTTGAAGCACTAACTCCGAGAACATTTGATTTTATTTTCCTGTGGCATTTCTATAACATCAGACCTGTTGTCTTCATTTGTCCCTTTTCTTTAATCTCCAGTATCCTGCATATTTCTATTATCCCCCTGATTACATGCTTTTGTGAGACAATTACCAACTGTGTGATTGCAAAAAGAATTACAAAACATACCATGAGCTCTCTGCTGGTGATTCTTGCCGATTTATTAGAACTGCTTAATAGTTTGGAAGTTCATATAGATTGCTTTCTGCTATTTCAAAAACAGGGTCGGCAAGAAAGAAAGCTTGTGCAGCTAACCTAGCGTTGCCCTTGTATTGTGCCTGTGTAGGGAATCTGATAAGAGTGATTTCTTAAGACCAATTAAGCCTTTAAATTTGAAAAAGACTGAGAAATTAAAGCGTGGTTTATAATCTGTACACAATACAGATAGTGGCACTTCTCTGAATTATCACTATGATTCTGGCAAGCAAATATAAGAAACTACTTTAAATTCCTGCTATGTTAGATGTTGTAGCAGATTTGAATGGTGTTGACCATAATTCTCCATCTGTCTGCCTTAATTAGTTTTTGTATGGTGCATTTAATTGGGTTTCAGTCGTTCCTTGCAGAGTGCTAATCTGTTTGTAGGCGGTGTTCCTGTTGCCACACAGCTCTTCCTGGTCTCACGCAAAATGGCAGCTTTTCTGGAAAAAATCAGATGCGTTTTGAGGCTGTGTTCTCAATTCCCAGGAATAAATCCCATACGCATACCAGTATTTGAATGACAGATTTGGGTTTTATCTCCCCTGGTTGTGAATAGGGTCAGCAGAGGCACTGTGTACTGCACAATAGATATTCAGATGTGGAATGAGTGAGCAAGCGAATAAATGCATGAATTGTACTCATTGCAATTGGTGGTCTGTCCCCTTGTTGATATTTGTGAGCTGTCAAAAGCTGCCCACTGAAATGCTACGTAAGGGCACATGGCCATCAATCTACAGTTTTGCTCTTTCATTTAATGAGTTCTAACTTCAGTGGCCATATTTCCCATGTTACCAGGCAAAAGATACTTTTTTGATTTCTGGATCTGAAAAATGTTGTTTAGATATTAAAAAAATTTAAGCTTTTCAGTACTATCTTAGGATGATGGCTCTTGGAAGTGAGGATTAGATCAGAGAACCTAGGTTATATGGTGAAAGTAGCAGTGGCTCAGTCATTATAGAGCTATAGAGGTGAGGACAGTGGAGCCATCAGGACTCTTTTATTGGTTCCCAAAGCATTTGTATATGAGGAATGGTGATTTGAGGTTAGCATGAGGTCTTCAGAAAGGAAGCCATGACTCAGGCTTCCTTACTAGTGCTAGTACTAATTTGCCTGGGAATACAGTTGTGGTCTCCATATAGAAGCCAGCCATTTGGAGTTAGCCGTTTTTACTCAAAGAGTAAAAATCCTGACAGCGTATATAAAGCCCAGACTGCAGAAGTAAATTGGTCCTTAGATACCTGAGTACTTCCATGTGCCAGGTAGTCAGGAATCTAATAAAGAGGCTAATTGGAAAGTCTTTATGAGATATTCAGACTTTAATATATTGACTGTAGTCAGCTGACTATAGATAAACACAAGATCTAGAGCCACATGAATGGTAACCAGTGTTCCAAAATGGTTCTGTATTCAGTCAAGTTATTCTGCAAGGAACACAAATTTCAGTATTTTGATTAATAAGTTTACTTTAGTTGCATTAATCTAAAGATATACATCTCAAGAAATGCAATTCTTGAAGCAAAACTGCAAGGATTAGACAATAGTTGAGATTTTAATCACATTTAATTAATTGATGGATCTGTTTTCTTTTATCATGGACAATTTAAAAAGATTTGAAAAGGTTGCTTAAATATTTCCTATTTATGTTATTCAAAAACAAAAGATGGCAGATTTTAGCTCTCTACTGCTTATCTTTTGACTATGGATTTCTTCCAACAAGGAAAATATCTCTTTGATTCTTTCTTTTCCAAGTAGGCCTGTGTTGATGTCTTTGACCTAGCATGTATTGTAACTTATAAAAACATTTTGAGGTAAGGATGATGATTATTTGAGAAAGTTGGACTTTTAGAAAAGATATGGAAAGATCCATGTTGAGTGAATGGAATTCTATGTTCTTTAATATAAGTGAAACTGTTGATTCCTACCCTACAAATTTAATGTTAATTGTTATAACTCATTTTTCTGATCTGATCTTTTATTTAAAAAAAAAAAACAACTTATTTTAAAAAGTGCTGCTAGCTGGTAGTAGTTAACCTTAGTAACTTTAGTGCAATCTCTTTAAGTCACCCAATATAGGAATTAGCTGTTTTTCTGTAAGCTAACATGGTTATGTACTTGTTCTTTGAACAGCTGAGGAAGTCACAGACCTAAAGAGGCAAGCTGTCGAAGAGATGATGGATAGAATTAAAAAGGGAGTTCATCTTAGACCAGTTAATCAGACAGCCAGACCCAAGGCAAAGGTATATTTACTCTTTCCCCTTGACATTTGCTTTATTAAAGGTAAAAATGTACAATTTGATGAAAGTTTCAAATCTTAGGATAAGATTGTGTCATAAAAAGCTTTTCCTTCTTTAGGAGCATGCTCTTGGAGGACTTTCTGGCCCTAAGTCAGCATAAAAAGCAAGCCCTGCCGTCCTGTCCTCCAGAGGGTCACTGATATGAACTGCCATATCACACAGTTAACAATTGTTACTCCCTTTCTTTTCTTTGATCCCTGGCTCTTTGATGTGGGTCTATTGAGTACATACTCTGTGCCAAGTACTGTTTTAGGCAGAAAGATACAGCAATAAACAAAACAAAATCCTTACACCTAGAGGCTTTAGTTTTGGCAGGGGGATCACATCATAATGGTAGAGCAGAACCAGGACACTGTAGAACTAAGATTTTGTGTGTAAAATCCACTGCCTCTTACAGGAGACACGATGAGCCCTCTAGGATTGTGAAACACTTTGAGTCTAGTTGCACGCTTCTCATTGGTGTATTTGTCACATTTAAATGGGTCCAGTAATATTTTCTGACATTTTTCTTGAAGAAATAGCCTTTTTTCCCTCATTCACATTAGATATGAACAGACCTGTTCCCTTCTTTTCCTCAAACTTCATGGCTTGGTGACTGGGCTGGAGTAACGGGGTGAGGGGGCGAAGCCATGCTCAGCTCATCTGTGAGAGAGAAGTTTCCTCAGCCAGGTAGGATAGGTCAGTCTGTGCCATTCATCTTGCCCCATTTTCTGAGAAAAGAACAGAATGCAAAACTGGAGGGAAGCTGAGTGAGAGACAAGTCCTGTTTGTTGGAGTGAGGTCCTGATAGTACCACAACTTTCCCATGCTTTTTTCCAATTCAAAACTAGGCCAACACCTGCCCTGTCTGACTCATGGGGTGGTCATCAGGATTCAGTGGAATAAAATGTAATAATGCTTTAAAGTACAGGGTCTGAGTGCCACTTTGAAGAATACATTTTTATGATTTTCATGTCACAACTGTTATGAAAAAAATAAGCAAAACCGAACTATTACCAGAGTAAAATGCAGTGTCATAAAGAAACAAAATTAGAGGAGGAAAATGTTACAAACTTCTTAAATCATAAGTAATGTTCTGCATGTACTTTCATTTGTCAGAGTATCACTCTGTGCTCTTTCTTTCTTCCCATGACTCTTCCAACAGTTGCGCATTATTTAATGTCAATTCAGACTCTGGAAAACAACTGAACAAGATCAGTGGATGACTGGGTTTTTTGCTGGTAATCATTAAGCTGTGTAGATGTAGTGCTGAATGGCCAGGTTGATACCCTCTAAAGCAAACGGTCAGTGCATGCTTGGGTACAGCCTTGTTCCCCTGTGCCCTCAGTGCTTCATTAAATTACATGATAACAGAGTTTGCAGTCCAGGCTCCAAAAGGTTTCTGAAATCAGAACAGCTCTGGTGGCATGGCAGCTCTTTGAGTGCGCCTTGACATAGGGTGTTTGTTCAGAAAAATCACAGGTGTCATATGAACATTTTTCCTGCTTGGAGAATGTTAATTTAACTGCGTATTTTCTAAATTCCTTGATACCATGGGCAGTGCTGGCATGAGTTGCAATGAGTTTCTTAGAATTCATGCCTGGTGCTGAGGGCATGTATGAGTCACAGGAAACCTGGCCTGTGAAAGTTGAATGCCTTAGCCTAATTTTGCACTGTCTTCATCTTTTATTTTTCACACTGAAGCGGGAGCTTATTACATTGTTGTCTTTGGAGTGGAAAAGAATATGGATTCCTGTTTATCACTGCCCATTTCTTGATGAGAGAGAATCTAGTCATCCTGTTGCTATGTCTTGCAAGTTTTCTCTCCATCTCTATTTTTGTGAGAAGAATTGATACAAGAGATGTCAGAGGTCTTTCCTGAGCTATTTTTTCATGGGGCCCCAGCCTCAATTTTTCCCTCCATTAAATTGGTTGAAGGAGTCACTGGAGCAGGCAGAGATTACCCAGAATTTTATTTGAAATTATTTTGTTCTTGGTACACACAAAAGAGAACTAGGCTTCCAAAGGAGACACCTGCCTCAAACCTAACTTCCTCAGGAGGTGAAGCAACAGGGCTGCCACGCTGGAGGACTCTCGCTTCTCTGACAGGCAGCTATGCTAACCTTTTCCTGGCAGCCACCTTCTTCCCTGGTTCCTTCTCCCACTGCGTCCTGCTGTGAAATTCTTGAAGCCCCCTGGAAGCTGGTCTTCATAAGGGGCTCATGGAATCAAGGGATGTTTTGGCCCAGCACTTGCTTTCTGCTCTGCATTGCCTTTTCTTCCTGTGCTTGCTGGCAAAGTTCAGTGACCTGCATGGGGAACAGTTTATTATTAAAGATTCTGAATAACATGGAATCAGATCTTTGAAATCTGATATTACCTAATCTTTTCCGTGTACAATGATAAAACTAAGGGGTAACAAAATACTTAAAAAGTGGTAGCATGAGTGCCTTTGCTTTGAATATAACTTCTAATTTTCGTTTCAGTTGCCCCTGGGGAGCATTAATATGATATGGGCAACATTTCTTTTTCAAACCTTAAGCCATAAACCTGGCTGAAAATATACAGCCATATGTACCACCAATATAGCTACCAATGATTTGCCATGTAAAAATATTTAGTGTTTTAAAACTGGATTACTCAGTAATTATTTTTCTCTTTATAATTGTAGCCAGACTCTTCAAAGGGCTCTGAAAGTGCCGTGGATGAACTAAAAGGAATACTGGTAAGAATAGATACTAGTTTATTACTGGTTTATACTAAATTGGGAAGTGAAAGGAGACTATATCTTGCAATCTTTTTTCATGAATAGTTTTTGTTATTATTTTCTCATTCATTTCTCTTGACAGTTTACTTGATTGTACAATGGATTCCTAAAGCACATATAATAATAACGGCCCAGTCACACTTTGCTCTTATTGTTCTAAAAGAGCGGTTTACACTTTCGCAGGCATTGTTTCCTGTTCTTGCCTTCTAATCCTGGCCTTGCACCCTGAAGGTCAAGTGTCTGACCAAATGGGAGGATCAGTGCATGTTTATGAATACAGAACTATAGTAGGTGGATGATGCTTACATGGATAATGCTTTCCTTTTGAGTCACAAAAGTGGAATTCTTAACACCTGCATGTAAAGCTGAGCTTGTACCTAAATATGTTTGTCCCAGGGTCACAGTCTGCTTTTTCTCATCTTCGAAACAATTATTTGATGAGAAATTAGAGGATAAAATAAAAGTCCCTCTCTTTAGGTCACTGATGTTGTCTTCAAAGGTAATTCACACTTGTTGGAAAACACGCATAATTCCTCTCTCTATTTTCTGAAACGCAGAGTAAATGGCTATTGCCCTCTCCATCAGTTGCTGTCAGACAAACCCCTCACGTGTAAGAAATGCTCCAGACATAAAGCTCTATTCTCAGACCCTGGTGCAGTGCTGATCCCAGTTCTGCACAGTAAGTCAACAAACATGGGGCAGAGGTGCAGGACTAACTACTCCCCTGTTTGTTGTTGCTGTACTGATTAACCATTGTGGACATCCACATAGTGACACCCACATAATGATGGTAAACAAAGTTATTTTCTTCAAGCAGTCTTTAAACAGTAGACTTAACACAGAATAGCTTAATTAGTTCACTTTAGTTTTAAGTGAGTGGGATTAGCCCTGAAAAGAGGTGTATCACTGGCTAACCGTGGTGTTCTACCTACAGTATTAAAACCACTGCATAAGCATGTGGTTATTATCTAATGGATTACTTTGATCAAAAGATTGTTACCCAGGGTGTTCTGTTAGGGAGCTCCCTGTGATGGTCCCTTTTGTGCCCCTGCATTATGATGCTAATTCATGTTGATGAAGATGTCCCCACGGGAAGCTGTGAGATGCTGGAGAACAGGACTGATCTTCAGTGAGAGTAAATCCTACTGAATTTGACTTTTTAAAATTTTGATTTATTTAGAAAATCAGACATTTGTATGGAAACATATGATAATTGATTATCTAAGGTATTCTGTGCTCTCGTAACACTGGATGGTAGCAAGTTTACTGAATTACAGCATTACTCTGTGTGTGTGTGTGTGTGTGTGTGTGTGTGTGCGCGCGCGCGCGCGTGTGACTGAAGAATGAAACCAGGGCCTAATTATCCTACACAAGTGCTCTAACATTGAGATGTATCGTCATAGTCACTGATTTTATGTCACTTCCAAGAGAAAAATTTTTGAAATTTATTCAAATTCTAAAACTTTTAACCCCCCCCCCTTTTTTTTTTGGCAAATTGTTCTTATCTGTCTTGCCCTGCATCTGTTATTAGATCTCACTGCCTTACCTGGCATTGACATACCATTAGGGGTTCTTTTGGCAATATTATTTTATCACATTTAGTTTTTTAAAAAGTAGAACTCATGAATCTCTTCCATATTTTACTTACCAAATGGCAAACTCTCTTCTTCCCAAAAGAAATTTCCTTTAAGGGATGGTAGACCACTTGTAATTCCCAGGCACTTAAAAAAGCAAAGAACAAACAAACAAAAAGCCTCTGCACTTTCTTGTTAGAAAGAGAAGGCCAGCCACTAACTCAGCCTGCTTTTTGATATTTCTTGCTAGAACTCAGACTATTAAGATTATCAGTAAAGATTATACTCAGTAAGGCTCACTGTACCAACTACATAGTCACAGCATGTGAGAAGCATACATGAAAAACACCCCACCAAAACCCTACAGTTCTCTACCTGTGTGGACAGAGGTACTTGGTACTGAGAGATGCCATGAAACACATTTGCAGTTCCCCTGTAGGGATGAATCCAAGAAAAAGCTCTGGGAGGCATGTTTTTATTGACACGGAATGTAACCCAGGGTATAAACAGAACTTAGAGATTTGGCTACTGTTGAGAGATAGTACATATAGAAACAAATCTCTGGTTTGGAAAAGTTGGAAAACTATTGTTCGAGTTGTACACTTTTCAGAATCATTGTTGAGTGGTCATTTTTCCAAATCTACTTCCACTAAAATCTTAAAGCTGTTTTGTAAATAAAAATATGAACAGTTCATTCTTATAATCACACAAGAGTTTTGAAGTTTAGCAGATGAAACCTCTAGAATTACCCCAATCTTTTAAAAACCTAAGTGGCAGTGATGAGTTCCAAAGACTAAATTAATACAAATTAATTGAAGAGTCTCTTTGGTTGGCTGTAAAACAAATACTACAATAGCTTGAAGCAAACATTCTTTCCAGTCTTTTTCACACATCTTCAGTTTCACAAAGTGCATGAGAATTGTTGAACATTTGATTTTTCCATGTGCAAATTATATTAGCATCATGGAGATGTAACGAGCATGGGGACTAAGATTGTTAGATGACCATGGTGGCTGGAAATAGAGTCCATGTTGGGAATTAGAAGATGGAAATTCTGTGTTTAGCCCACCACTGACTTAAGGTGGGATGTGGGCAAACCCTGTGGCTCGTGGAATTTAGGTTTCTTATAAAATGAAGGAATTACACAGACCACATAATTTGAGTCAACTTCTGATTTCCACACTTTATGACTCTATTATAAATAGATAACTAAGATTATCTTAGGATCTTTATTAGCTGAGCTTTTCATCATTCCAGTGTAGAGTCATGCAGAAATCTGTCTTCCACAACTGCTTATGTATTTAAAGTTTACTTGTATACATATTGGCTGAATTAAACATATCAGTCAGTAAGTGGAAGAAAGAAGTTTGGGACTCAAGGTATCCTATCCCTTTGCCTTGAAATAACTCAGCCTCTTGGCATTCAAATGATGTATTGGTAGTAGTTTTATAAGTTATTTTAGTAGGGATAATCATAGGTTTTCAAATAACTGTTAACAAGCGATACTTAAAGAATTAGCAATATGAATGGTAGGTGGATAGTTCTACAAGTGTATCTAAAATGACATTGTCTTTACTTTGTCACTTTACTGTGTTTCTCTCATGAGTAGGTAAGAGCTGTAATGTTACAACAAATCATCTTGTTTGTAATTGTAATGTAAGCTAGCATTACATATGATGTGATTTTTTCTTTTAATATATTTTATGAATTTGTGCAATTAGTGAAAATCAAAAAGAGGTACTTCTAGAGGGGAAAAGTGTCACTTGCCTGGTTAAAATCCTTACTTATGTAAATATCTCACATATTAGTTGGCTAGACAGCTGACAGCAACATAATATAATCTGATCAGTAGGCTACTTTTCTATGTGTTAAGCAGGTAGAGGAAAAAAATGTCTAAACGAAACATTTACAACCTATATATCATGTGAAATGTGTAACCATCTGATTTACAAGGAATTTACTGTGTTTTTTAAGTTAGAGAAGAAGCACAGGTTACCTTGTTTAACCAGTAGAATTTTTTTAATCCAGAAGTTGGCAGTGGGGAGGAGCAAGGGTAAAGCAATAGCCTAGTCTGCCCCAACTTCACAAAAGCTGGCATGATTATTAGCTTTGCTGGAAAATGTTGCATTCAGACTCTGGTATGAAGTCTCGCCAGTTATACTAGAAGAGATGTTCTTTTATCTTCTGATCAGAAAATAATAATTCTTTTTCTTCTTCCATGTGTTTCCAAGTTTATGCAACCTTCAAAACAATGGACAGTTCAGATGAAAAAATTGTGACGTTGGAGTGCTAGGTCAGTCGATATATGTGATCACAGGGAAGTACACCACCTGCCTGCTGCACAAACATTTGCCTAGAAATACAGATGGAAAACACAGAGTTCTCTTGTTTCCTCCGGTATCTTTTGGGTACTGAATACACATTCACTGTCTCCTCTGTTAGGAGTAAGGAATTTGATGCTTCCTTATATGATTACAACTTTCCTCTTCCACACTAAGTTAAGGTATTCACTGTGCAGACCTTCTTTGGGTAGGATGCTGGAGACCATTCCGCGTTTCCCTTGTTGCCACTATGCCATGGTTACCAGGTGTGCAGCCAGGGTCATTCTCTCTGCAGAATTGGCCAGTTATTTTTTTTTTTTTCCCAATGCCAAATGGATTTGGGTTCACTAGTTCATGGCTACCATACCAAAATATCCTTCAAAGGTGAGTTTAATATATGCATTGTCTTCTCCAGCTGATCAGCACACATCAGAATCTTCATCATCCGTGGGCAAGTACCTTCCCACTGCAGAGTTTCATGCAGTCAGCTCTTCGAGAGGTGTTCTTCTGCTGCTCTTCTGATGTGAAGCTAGTGTTGCATCATTAGGAGCATCTTCTTAAATGATCCAGTGCTCTGTGTTATTGAGGATGTGTACATTTTAAAAAATTACATATATATGTATATATATATAATTACATATATATATCCTTGTATAAATTATAGCAAGCTTTGTTACCTAATTCCATTCAAATTCTGGTAATGTTTTGTTGATTTTTATATTCCTTTGTATATTGTATTAAGTCATTAATCTTTTTGTTTTTGTTTTGTTTTCACTTTAGGGGACACTTAACAAATCCACTAGTTCAAGAAGCTTAAAATCTCTTGAACCTGAAAACAGTGAAACTGAGTTAGAAAGGATTTTGCGTCGCAGAAAGGTGACAGCAGAAGCAGATAGCAGTAGTAAGCTGGTTTGAATTCTCCACAGTCCTGTTCATCTCTGAAACTCTTCCTATAGCCCCTTTCTAACATAAAAGCATCTTTTAAAAATTGTTATTAACGTACTTATTTTTAATGTGAGTGAGAAGTATTGGGTGGGCAAAGGGTATTTCTGGATATCTTATAAGAACACTAATATATCTTTATTTATTGATCTATTTGGAGATAATTGGCATATATAGATCTGATTGTTTAATGTGAGGTTGCCTAGTGTGAAGACCTCAGGACAGGTTTGGGCAAGAATATAACATCAGTACAGGTTCTGGAACCAGCTTGCCTATTTTTGAATCCCAGTTTAGTCTTTTCTTCAGACCTTTTCTTTAGGTAAATCACTCAACTTTTCTATGCCTCCATGTCATCTATCAAGTGATGATAATAAACACACTGCTTCATAGGATTATTTTTAAGAAGTCAGTTAACATCAAAAGCACTTAATGCTGGGTCTGGCACAAAGGAAGCACACAGTAATTAGTAGTTTAAGTAATAATCACACTTCAGTTACAAATGCAGAAAAACCATCTTTACTTTTATATCCATTTATCTTATTGTTTCTGCTTCTGATGACCTGAGTGAGTGGGAAATTTTAGCTGTGTCACCAACTATAAAAGTACCATCTAAATGAGGCCAGAGCTCACAGTTTATGCAGTCAGGATAGCCATGTATTAAGCCTTAAAATCTGTTGCAGAACTGACTGGGAGTCATCAGTTGTTTTCATCGTTTGGTTGTAGGAATTAGTAGAAGCTCTTGCAAGGTTTTCCCCATTGGTCAGAAAGGAGGCTAACTTTGAAAAACTGGCATAGATGATGAGCAATCAGAGCTAGTGGGCTGAATCTTATAGACCTCATAAAGTGGATTTCAAATAGTCCATCATAACTCTTTAAATCTACAAAGTATTGAGTCATGTTGACCAAATTTAAGTGGTTTGAATATTAAAGATGGGGTTTGGGTCATATTAAACTCACTTTTTTATATAAGAATATATGCAAATAATTGAATAAATTGGTTCCCTGGATTAAAGTGAGCCAAATACCAGCCAGACTTTTATGAAAAGGGGAAAACTTTTCATCTTAAAAACAAAACAAAACTGTTCAGGTTTTAGATTAGTCTACAAATTATTCTATTAAAATCCTACAGGGATTCTTTCTCACACAGTTAAATAACCACTTCTTAGGAACATTAAAGGGGTCACTTTAACACACAGGCACTTAGCAGCTTCCCGGTCAGTCATCATTCATTTTGTGATTTGACCTGAGTTATCTTTTCCATCCTTAAAGTATTCCTGCAGGCATTGTCATTTTTTAGGACTCTGTAGATGACTGTTTTTTAGGACAGAGTCATTTGCATTTTGTGTTTTGCCATGGACTATATTGTTTCTCCAGAAACATTCTTACTTCACTCATGAATTGTATCAAACATGTATAACACTCACTGTTTCAGAGTTACCTTTCAGTGGAAGAAATATTTTTCTTTCCTTTAGTCAATATAAGAGTAGAATACTGTATTTCAAAGAGTGGTGAAGTAATAGTGTAGTGGCATAGTGAGAATCTCTCATTTTAACTTGCATGTCGCTAAAACACATGGTTTATCATTTGAGGGACATTAGAATAAAAGATACAAATTCAGTAGAACCACGAGTACATGAGGGAGTAACAATTAAGCAGAGATTTTGAGCTTCTTAAAGCCAAGGCAGTATAGCAGCAAAATGAAAGAAACAAACAAGTTTTCATCATGTAAAACCAACAAACAAACAAAACCCTTTTCCAGTAGTATCAACATTTCTCAGCATTAAACTGGAAACGGCATTTACCCTGTGAAGCTTTTTATAAATATCACATGATTACAAAGTACAAATTCCAGGAGAGGGAATGAGGAAGCAGCTAAAGCATGATGGCTACATGGGTACATGGCAGGTGTCAAATGACAGAGAGCAGGCCTTAGCTAGGTTTCTGCCTTACTTGCACTTGTACCTCCGAGACTGTTTGCTTCTGTACATGGAATACATGTACATGGAAGGCACACAAGCAGAGAAAGGAAGCATCACAAAGAAGAGCCTGAGTTTTGCAGCACTCGGGTCCCTGGTTCGTGGATGTCTCCTCAGGGGCAGGGATGCACCACTTTTTCCGGTTTTCTCTGGACTCGATTGATGATGTTCCCTTGCCTTCCTTGGCTTAGTGGCCTGTTGTACAGACATCTCACAGGGCAGCAGGGGCTTTGTAGAAAACAGTGTGTGACTTAAGCAGGATGCAGTAATAATCTCAAACATTATGTGTTTTTCTTGATTTCTTTTTATATGTAAGAAAAATAAGAGGTCTGGCTCAGCTCACTACTCTTCCCCGTTTTTAATTGGCTTTGGTTAGTTGAACAAGCAGCAGGCGTCTATGTATTCAGAAACAGATCTTGCCTCCCTACAAGGACAGATTGTTTAAAGCTATCTAGTGCTGTAGTAGCAATTGTCCAAGGACAGAATAGAGCTGATCTGAAGCAAATCTTGAATTTAATTTCACATTTGTATTTTCAGGACCTTTCTTTCTTGCTTTTTTCCTGCTCTTTCTGTCTTTTCTCCCACATCCCCATGCAACATCAGGCTTAACATTTAATGTAGCTGCAAGGAAAAGCTCCTTTCAATCAGAATATTCAATAATGTCACCACCTGTCTGCCCACGTGGTTTAGAGGAAATAAGTAAAGCAGTCAGAGACCAATGCTTTGTGGGCTGGGGCTTTTAGTTTCTCTGTTTTTTCTATATGGATTTAGCAAAAGAGGTATTCAGTAGATTGGCTGAGGAATTTTCTAGTTCCTCTTAGTTGGTTTTCTACAGTTGACATACTGTACTGTTGTAGTACATCAGAAGCACTCATAGCTAAATGTAGGAACAAAATTTCAGAGCTAAATATCAATGATCATGGATTAACTAGTATTCTGAATTGTGCCTACTAGGAATTTCCATCTCAGTAGACGAGCTGACATTTTTTAACGATAAAAAGACGCCTGCACTTTACTTAGTAAGCATCTTTCAAGGTTATTCTCTTACTTCATTTTTTAAAAATTATCATTAAACTTGCATATTTGTGACTTTGTAAGTCTGTTTTAAAAGCATTCAAGCTATAGTTACAGGAAAGATACAGTAGAATCTTGCTTAGAGAAGAAGTACCTTTGATAGACTCTTTCTACCTAAAGATAGAAAAAAAAAAGTCATGAAAAGGGAAAGTTTCAATGCACAGAATTTTTAGATTGGTATGCCAATTATTTCAATAACAAGCTCTATTGTAGTTTTTAAATGCTGTCCCAAAGAACAGAAAAGTCAAAAAGGTAAACAGCCAGATTCTTTGTCACTTAATTTCTGTAATCCTGTGTCTATGTTATAAGAGGCAATAATCCACTTCTCATTCACATTAAAATGAAAATGTTCAGAAAAGCTGTTCAGTGCTCAAGAAGGCATCATAAGCTTTTTAAAAAGAGCCTTTTGACACTGTTTCATTTTCTGTGTTAAATGCAAATCTGAGTTTTGGGAAGAATTAACTCTTCAGAGGTGAAATGGCTCAAGCAGGGCTGTCAGAAAGCCATCCTCTGGGAGGAGAAAAGCATTTTCACTCTTCTCATATTGCTGGGAACTCTGGTCAGTGAGGGAACTGTGGCCTGGGACTTTGTAGTTTCTTAAAGGTCTGCATATAATTTCTCAGCATGGCCCTAGTGCCCTGAAAAGCAGTAGTGCCACCAAAGAAAAGCAGATTGACAGTAGGAACTTTTTCTTTTCCCAGCATGCTCTTGAAATTTTTAACAAACTTGGCCTTTTTACATCTTGAGGGATTTTCACCTAATCTGTTTTTCAGTGCCATATTAATAAGCATCACACAAATGATTAAACTTGAGGTATGTGTTTGGTTTCAAGGTCCAACTGGGATATTAGCCACCTCAGAGTCCAAATCCATGCCAGTGTTGGGTTCTGTATCCAGTGTAACAAAAACAGCCTTGAACAAGAACACTCTGGAGGCAGAATTCAACAGCCGGTCTCCCCTCACACCTGAGCCAGGTGAAGGGTCCTGTAAATTGGAAGGATGCACAAGTTCCGATGTTACATTTCAGTAAGTAAAAATGCTCTTTATTAAGTACTGTGTGGAAGAATCCATAATGACTAACATGTGTTTCTTTGGTTGGTTTTTCATGAGAGAGATTTTGACTCAGCTCGCCAGTTATCTTCTTCTTTCCTTTGATGAGCCAACTTTTCTTCTAGTCACCCAGCTTAGAAGTTTTGTTCAAAACAAATACACGCCTAAAGAGAATTCCTTCCCATCAGCTGGTTTAACCATCACATTCTTATTCTATAGAAAGAAATGACTAGCATCAGAAGATAATTAATATTTCAAAGTTACATGCTTAGTTCATCTCTCTTAAAGGTTCCTGAGCAACCGAAGAAGATACTAGATCTTTCTGGGCTACTTTGGAGAGTACTTTTGTACAGCCTTATCTTCTGGTCCTCGGTAACAGTTGTGCCTTCATACGGCTCTAGCCTAAGAAAGAAATGCACTATACAGAATAATCTATATTGACTGGCTTCAAAATGCCACTTTGTCAAAGAGTTCTGGTAGAGGATCACTTTGTTTTATAACAATGGCGAGCTCTTTTTGAAATTAGTCTACAGTTTCGCTTTAGTTCTCTCACCAGGATGTCAGCTAGTTTGTCAGTTAAAGAAAAGGAAGAGGTGAGATAAATCAGATCAGTTGAATATTATAATCACAGTTAATTAAACCTCTGATTTCCTGCTCTGTCAGGAGAGAAAGAGCCCCTTTTCTGTAGTTTATCTTAGCTTAAAAGGTGAAACCTGGACAAATGAAATTGAAATTCAATTTGGATCTATTTTTGCCAACTGGTATTTTATCCTCTTTTGCATTTTTCTCATTGGTACTATTAACTTTTCTCCCCTCCACCCTCTCTCTTTTGGAATGAATGGCCTTTTTCGCTGATTTACAGTTTTATCTAATTTCATTGTGTTTAAAAGCACATTTTCTCCTACAGTCATGTGTTTCCTTTCTTTTGACTAGAGTCATTTGCACAGTTCTTACAGAAAGATGATCTATATTCATTCTTCATCTTTCCTATTAAATTTGTTTAACACCTAATTTGACATCAACAATCTGGCTACATTTGAACCAATATCTAGACACAAAAGCAATTTGGCTGAGACAAGTTAGTTTCTGAGAAATGCTTCAGTGAGTGTGTATAGATTTTTTTTCCTTTACCATTTTACACAGATAATCTTAATCAGAAAATACTACAACTCCTTCCTCCTTTTGTCTGCCTTTTATTCTCCAAAAGTAAGTGGAAATTACATTTCCAAGAAAGGAAATGAAATAATTGCAGGCCCAAGGTCTGTAAAATATGTGTTGAATTGACAGTGAAAAGGATCCATGTGCTGACAGACACAGTTGTTAGATGCCATAAAGACCGATGTGAAGCTCAATTTATTTCTCATCTTGCTTGTTCAATGACTGCTTAAGAGACACGCTTCAATTTAATTTATCTACTTAAAGTGCTAATACAAATACTGTGTGCTGCTGTATTAACTTTTAAACTTTGTAACCTAATGCTTGATTATTCAGTTCTTGACATTCTCTAGCTGAAATATCCCAATGCCATATATTTTCATAGACAGTCATTTAGCAAATAAGAGCACCTTTTTGAAACATCCATTTCTTTAAGCACAGCTAACCCAAATGAATCAAGAAAATTTCGTGAATGTACAGGGCAATTATTCACTTCCCAGACACACATGTTTCATTCATTTATGTTGAAACATAGCTTTTTGGTGACTTAAGAAGCTAATGCAGTTACCTGCAAGCTTTAAAAATAAAAATTCATGTTATTTGTCAGTATCCTTTGAAACTGGTCCAGGTGCTAGGAATGAGAAAGGTTATTGTCAGGTCTGTTTCTAACTAACTTTGACTAACAGGTTTACTCTAACTCCTGGCTAGTATAATAGAGGCAGCAACCGCAGTGTCCCTTCCTCATAGATTTGACGTGGCTATAGACTCGAGAGTTAGGTCGACAATGAAAAAAACTGAAATGTTTCCTTTGCTTTTTTTTTTTTTTTTTTTTTTTTTTTTTTTTTGTCTTTTTTCTTTTTATCGGCACTAGGGATTGAACTCAGACTGCCTGCTTGCAAGGCAGGTGCTTATGCCGCTGAGCTAAATCCCCAGCCCCTTCCTTTGCATTTTAAAAGCATCTTTGCATACAAGTAGTTGTACTTTAATTTTGATCTTTGCTTACACTGCCATAGGATTTCCAGTGAGTAGCACTGTCAGTTTGTCACAGGAGACATGGTCACGGCAGAACGCCGCTCACAGTAGTCAATACATCAGTAATTTTTCTCAACATGCTGACCCCACACCTTCACTTTCTCTGCATCCCTGCCCTTCTCACCTTTCTTCCTCCTTCCACTTAGGCCTCTTTGGCCTGGTTCCAATCCAGTCTGGACCCTTTGCTTGTATTCTCCCCTCTACCTACCACGTTCTTTCCCCCAGGGCTAGATGGCTTTCTCTCTCCCTCCACCATTTCTTTGGTCAGATGCCATCTAATCAGTGTGGCACCCTGAACATATTTAAAATTGTAACTCATCATCCCATAAATTCTGATTCTCCCACCCCACCCCATTTTCTCATGGCAGTTATCGCCTTCTAACACACTCTATCCTTCATTTATTCCTTTTTTTCCCTTCCCTGTACTGGAAGGGAAGCTCCACGAGGGTAGGACTTTTGTTGTTTCATCACTGGTGTATCTCAGATGCCTGGCACAGTTCCTGGCAGATGGTGAGATCTCAGTAAAAGAGTGAGCACATTTTTTTTTTTTTTTTTTTGTCTTTTTCATTTTTATCGGCACCAGGGATTGAACTCACGACTGCCTGCTTGCAAGGCAGGCGCTTATGCCGCTGAGCTAAATCCCCAGCCCCTTGAGCACATTTTTCAGTATTAATTGAACAGCAGAGTATCAGTCAGTTAACCAGCGTCCTCTCATTACTCAACAGTCACATGTGCATACCAATTAGATACATATTACAGGTTTTGGTTGGTTGGCTTGCTAGATTATTTGATTTGTAAAATGTTACCTCAAGTTATTTATATTCACTCCATCGTGCATATCTTCTTTACTTTTATACCTACATGAGAGAACAAGATCAGGGACCCAAGAATACCTGGTGATGACAGAAGAACCTATCTGTGCTCACTGGATTGGCTCATATGGACAGGACAGTTTGCTCACCTCCCAGAAAGATTTTAACTGGAAAGAGAAACAAAGCTGTTTGCTGCGTAGTCTTTACTTAACTAGAAATTTAACTTTGGCAGTTTTCCTTGGAAAGTTTTTTCCTTTCAATAAATTCCCAGAATCAACACATGTGATTACTATATTCCAAACAGTTGAATGACTCCTGTAAATTATGAAGTTAGAAATAAAAGGTTTATTGCTTTAGATCTATGAGAAAGCAAGAGACACTTGATACTTAATTATAAGGATTAATTAAAAGTAATGCTCTTGTCATAAGCATAAACAAAGCAAGAGTTTTCTGTTTTGCTTTTTTTTAAAGAAAAAAATAGAGTTTAGGGAACTGTATTCTATATTAATAATAGCTTTAAAACATTTGTGTGCTTTCTAATAAGTATATAATATCTAGTCATAATAAATCTCATGGTAAGTTTGAATTTCATTAATTTTGATTGGCTATACTTCAGGCAGAAATTATGCTCACTCTCTCTTTACGCTGTGAAAGGGAAATAATGGGGCAAGCAAATGAATGGTATAACCTGATTGTTGCTTCCTTTCCCTTTCTTGTTGATATAGATTAATCTGATAATGTTAAGAAGTTGCAAGACAACTATTTAAGCTAATCAATGAGTAGCATAGTAAATACAAAAGAAAATTCGGAACTGTCTAATATTAAAAGAAATTACCCTGTTGCTTTCAGACAACTGTAGCAAAGTACTGGGAAATAAGCTAACCAAGTGTTGCATAAGGTTGGAGCAACAAGAATAATTTGTATCTTCATGTATAAAAGCCTACAGACTGTTTTCTTTCTTCCTTCCTTCCTTCCTTCCTTTCGTTTCTTTGTTTCTTTCTTTCAAGGATTGAACTCACAACCTTGCATTTGCCAGGCAAGTGCTAATGCCACCGACTCTATTCCCAGCACATTATTTTTTTTTTTTTTGTCCAATAGCCAATAAAGGGGCATACTTTAAAGTAAACTTTAGAAATTAGCCTATTGGAACACCACTAAAGCTACTTTAGTCCTCAGTATAAATTTCATTCATACATTTTTACTTAATTGATTATTTCAGACATGCTGAAGAGTAGTTTATTCCCAGAAGTTAAATATCTTAAAAATGGTTAGCTCTTATCAATGGAGTAGAAAGATGCTTTAATAAATAGTAATATATTTTGAAGAAGAGTTGCTATAAATTGAGTTGTTGTAAAAATGTATATTCTAAGCGGGGTGTGGTGGCCCATGCCTATAATCCCAGCACTCCAGAGCCGAGGCGGGAGGATTGTCACGAGTTCAAGACCAGCCTGGGCTACAAAGTGAGCTCAGGGAAGCCTGGATTGCATAGTGAAACCCTGTTTCAAAAAGATAAAATAACAACAAAAACATATTCTAAAGCCCTAAATAAATTTACTATATCCACTTGATTTCATACTTTTTAATTACCTTTTTAAACAAGAAAACTGAGTGCTTAGTTACCCTTTGTTTTAGGGTTATCTCTGTTAAGAAAAGCAGGACAGAGGGTTCATCAGTTTGGAGGAAGAGCTGAGAAGTTTTTTGTTTTTCGTGTTTTTTTTTTTAAAGCAAGAAAGGAATTTGTTATTTATTTTGTGTGTCTGTACTGGGAAGACAGATCTAAGGCTTGTTGTTGAAGAGCCAGTGGTATCTTTGAGGCCAGCATTAGAGGGGCTGCATGGCTAGTGATCCTGCTTAGGTCCTAATCTGGGTGATCATTCTAGGACTGGTCACACAGCTTTCTAAGCAGCAAGGGAACTACTGTTGTTGGTCATATCTTAAAGATGTGCTGAGCAGATGTATAAAGTTTTCGCTTCCCAA